TTAGAAACTAAATTAATACGTATATGTATTATATAATTTTACAATTTTTAATATTGGTGATTTTTATCATATTTACTGCAATTGTAACTTTTCATATATTAATGCTCTACTGTTAATAACTACACTATGTTTAACCTTGCTTTTCTTTAAATGATGAAATTTTTTGCTCAAAAAAATATGGCTCTTAAAAATACATTTAATACGATTGGCTTGGATTATATAAATGATAATATGTATGTAAATATGTATGAATGTATGTATGTATATATACGTCAAATGTCTAGTGTTATATGTTATTGGTGCAAGTTTCTTCTTAATTTAATATTCCAATCCGGACTCAAGCAATCTTAAAAAAAACGAATCTTAATTCCAAAACCGTATTCAAAAAGCAACAAATGTATGCATGTATGTATGTATTGTACCAGTTAACTTTATAAAAATAACACACAATTGCTACATGCACCTGATAATATTTGAATATATTTATGTACATAGAAATCTTTTTAAAATTATCTACATAATTATATAATGGATGTATGCAATTAATACTTGTAAATTTTTGTATACTTTAATATACTATAATATTCCTATATAAAATTTAATTTTTCCTTAAATACAACATCCTATTATTAGAACGAACTTTGACATACATGTAACATGTAAATTTATTTACCACCCACATAAATTTTATCTTATAATCATACTTTTTCCTTTTTTTTCTTTTTTAGCTTAACATGAAATATTATCTCATAGAAAATATTGAGAAAGCATAAAGATATGATACCTTAACACATACATATACGTATATAACTGTCATCTTCTCTCTTATATGTAAAAATTATATAGTAATAACAAAGGATATTGTATGGTTTTAATTAAAATCAAATACTGACAAACATTATAATATATACATTATAACTTATACAGATGTATTAATATTATACGTATACATTTTATCCTGATATTAAAAGAGAATTCAAATATCCTGAATATTTATTTTAGTCACTCTCATTTTTAAAATGAATTTGTGTGAAATTTTTATTTTCACTTCTTATACAAGCCTAAACTTAATACAAATTTATTATTGCTCCCTGAAAGTATAACATAGAAAATGGTAAAGATCTCTTTTACTCTATATTTTTATTGTATGTATGTATAATTTAGGAACATAATAATAGTACAAACAATAATTATTAATAATAATAAAAAAAACTGCATTGACAATAAAATTTTTTTAAAATTTTAAAATTAATACGAATTTAATTTAGATATTCAAGAATAATTTATTAATCATAAATTTCGGCTTCCATTTTTCTAAATATTTCCTTTAATATTAAGGTTTCCTTAAATATATTTCTATTTGTAGTATGTACATATTTTTCTTCAAATAGATATACATCCTTACATATATATCTATTTTTATTACATTAGCACACATTCTCATATTTTAAATGTCATAAACCATAGAAAATCTGGAAAGATCTAAAAAATTTTAATATAAATTGAAAACAATCAAATATAAAAATAATACAAAAAAAAATTTTTTTACTTTTAAAATAAATTATATAAAGCTTATATATCGACACATAGATACGAGTAACTTAAACATATACAAAAACATAATATATTCAGAAAAAAAAAATCTGTAAAACAAACTGAAAATAAAAAAAAAATAATAAATTACGCACTATACATTTTCTGAGAGTAAAAATTATTATTTCAATGTTTTACACAGAATGTTATGCAAACAAAATGTATGCAGATAATATGCAGGATTGCAGATTTTTTGTGTGTATTATGAAAATATTCTCTATTAATGGTATATTTAAAATGTTACATTGAATTATACGATAAAGAAGACCTTTTTAGGTACCGGAAAATAAATTTATATATATATATATATATGTATATGCATTTGATATTCATTAAATAAAATTTTATTTTATATTTTCAAAAAAGCAAGTAAAAATTATATATGTAAGTGTAAATCTTCATAATACTCGTAATTCTCTACATATAAATTTTTATATGCATTTTGGTGTACATATAAAATGTAGATAATGCCTGTACAGTATTTATAAGCATATATGTACGTAAATAATTTTATTACTATATTACATAATATCTGTATATGTATTGTGTTATAATAGCAAATTAATGTTGTTTAAATTAATGTTTGAAGGACAAATTTCTATAGTACATAAACGAATAAAATATTTACACAACTTTATGATAAAGATATATTTTTAATATATATTTGTAGCTATATAAAAATAAATTAGAACAAATTTAATATTTAATGATGGAGACAAATATTCAAAATAAAATTATAGAGTTTAAAATCAAATATGAAAAATTTTGTCATTATTAGGAGTAACATATTTGCAATATTTGTTTGTATTTGTGTTAATATATTATGTATATATATATAATATTTGTATATGTTGACTATATTTTGAATTGAAAAATTTCAAACATTTTTTGCCACATATAGTATACAATATTACTTGAAATATTCATAATATTCTCTAAATTTATCAATAGTCAAAGATATCAGTTAATCTAATCTTCAAGTTTTCTATAATATATGAATAAATTGTATAATATTTTATAATACAATTCTATAATGAAATTATATAAGTAAATTATACATCTACTTTTATTAATTAAACAAGATTTATAATTATATGTAAATATTTATGAACTCGTCAAAATATTCGTTTTATGAATGCTGTATCAATTTTATATATACATATATATGTATTACATTATCCTGACATATATACTACCTATAATATTATAATCTCAGTCTATATTGTTGATGTGATCTTTAGTAATTATTTCGAAATATTATAGAAAAAAGTTTCATATAGTTTTAAAATCAACTGAATGCAATATTTTCCTTGTTTCCATAATATTTTCCATTCTTAAGTATATTTTATTAAAACTTTAAAAATTTTATTGTACATGTAACTTTATTATATAAATTATATCTTTAAAATAGACAATCCTTGGTCAAAGAAAATCACATTTAATATTTTCATTATTAAGTTATTTATTTATTCGCAACACAATCACTTATTAAAACTGTTCTTGAATTTACTTTTTCTTACCCAAAACTTAATTTTTTTTTTTGCAAAACCTTAACTAAATTAGAAATAAACAAAAACAGGCATTAATACAAAATTCAATTTTTAAAATTAATAATTAAAATCTTTAATTTTAATACAATTTTAATTCATGGAAAAAAAATGTACAATTTTAATTTGATACACAAATATTGCATACCACAAGGGGTAATTTAAATTCAATTATGTATCAGTATTGAAAATTATTTAGTATCTTAGTAATTATAATGGGATCACTATGCGTGTAGCCAATTAAAACAGTATGAAAGAAAAAGAACGACATAATATGTATGTAATAAAATATTTTAATATTGTTAAAGTAAAAAACCTGTAATTATCTATTCGCAATAATAATGCAATATATACGAGTAGCTAGTATTTTTTTTTATAATTATATTATGCTACATATTTTTTTCTTTGGGTAATATTTGACTACAAAATAAGTATCTAAACAACTGTTTTCCTATATTTTAATTTTCGTATCTCGAAAAGTGATGAAGTTTTTGATAGAGATCGTAAAATAAAATTCATTTTAAAACTTATAAATTAGAGCAAATGGCCTTAAAGGAACTATTTTTGAAATTATTCAGGAGTTCTGGCATAAATTTTCTTGTTAATTTATAAGTTTGATTTTAATTCTGACCTATATAATCATCGATAAAGAATTTTTGCTTAGAAATGCAAAATAAAGAATATAGAGGAGGGTGTTAATTATTAAAAGCGTCTGGTAGCTATCAAATTACAATTTTGGATATTTTAATAATTGTATTAGTTTTTTTTATATTTTCTGTTTTATAGATTTTAGACTTAGAGAGCGACAAATATTTTAAGGTTGTTTCTAATTAATTCTCTGTTTTTGTCTTAAAACTTATGAACATTTTGTAATTAAAAAAATATTCAAGAGAATTATGAATCAAAGAATAAATTATAGAAAGTTGCATTAAAATCCAGAGTAGGCATACTATCAAAGGAAATTGAATTTTAAAAAGCAATTAAATATTTAAAACTTTGCGTTTTACAGATATAAAGTCAAATAATTTGAAAGGAGTTTGTATCTGTAAAAGGAGAATTATAATAAAATTAGAAAATAAAGTAAAATAAAAACAAATCAAAGTTTTATAAAAAAAATTAATGAAATCCCTTAATGAAAGCAATTTTTTTTACCAAATAATATTAACTATTATATTACAAAAATATTTCTCAAAGAAATAAAAAATGGCAAATTAGTTCAAATTTCATTACATTGTAAATTTTTTTATGTTAAATATTTTATAATTTAGCTGCTTATAAAGATTATATTCATTAAAATTCTCTCTTATTCACAATCTGCCTCAATAAAAAAGGTTAATTTTCTTTTTCTTCCAAATTTATTAGTCTATTTAACGTTCAGAAATTCCCGATTAATTAAAATTAATTTTGGAAATTTCTTTTTCTTCGGCAAATTTTTTGTACATATATTATGTAAATATGTAATGTATAATTTAATATTATTTAAAAAAGCGAAATTGATGTAAATATTTATTATATCTCACTAGGAAAATGCACTCTGGGCAATCCCTGTTGTAAACCTAACGTACGCAATTACAAAGCAAAATAATCCCTCGCATAAAGTCATCTCGATATTGAAAAATTCGCTCTAAGCCAACTAATACTAGTTCCTCACTTTAAGTAATTTAATTTAAATAATAAAATCTAAATATAATTTTTGCTTAGGTTTTAAATTTTCTGTCCCAAAACCGATTTTAAGCGATGTAAACAAATAATATATGTATGGATAATATAAATGTTGAGAAAGCTTATTTTGATACAATGTAAAACAAATTAAATCCAAAAACTCAATTCCATAATAAAAATTTTTATTAGTAACAAAAACAATGATTTTTGTTTCTCATGTAAACTTAACACTACGATTCGAAAATTGATATAAAATAAAATTTATATCTACAAAAAAACATGTATATAAAATTTGAATTTCTAAAAAACCTTAAGATAATATTGGACGGATAATACAAGTATTAAAGATTTTTAATTTTGTTTTAAATTTAAAATTTTTTGTTGTTCTTATTTCTAAAACGATATGTGACTTAAACACAAATCTGTTGTTAAAGACTTTTTAACCCACTGGCATAGTAGATACGGTACTATGTGGAGTTGTTGGTCTAGAACCAGCAAGGGAATGTGTTGTTGAAGCATTTAGTGAAGCCATTGTGCCCATCTATAAAAAAAATAACTTTAAAATTGAAAATATATTGTTATTTAAACAAGATTTACTCTTAAATGCGCTAAATCTTCTAATTTGGTTAGATCAGCAAGCTCTAAATAAAGAGAATATACAATCAACCAACCGTAGGTTGAAATTCCAATAATTAAAATCCATAATAATACCATCATAATATTATATGCAAATATTAAATCGTTGACTATTGAAAAAAATAGAAATGCGAAGAATCTGAATATGGTGAAAGCTGCAAAAGTCCATAACCAAGGAATGATTTTTCGCTCATGTTCCTAAAAATATGTAGTAATTGGTTTGAAAATTATTTAATACTTAACAAAAATAAGTTTTTATTTTATTTTTTTCGTTTTTGTTATGTACTTGAAAATTAAAACATGTAATTTACAAGATTGCAAAATCCAATTTGGGAGTTAAATAGTAAGCATTTAGGTGAATTGGAAAAGGTATTTTGGAGATTTGAAAAACTATAAATTTTACTAAATAAATTTTCTAGAATAAAGTTTTAGTTTTTATTATTTAAAAAATAATAAACAGATTGAATATGTAAAATTATATACATAACAGTGTATTTGGAATGGCATAGTGGCAATTTCAATTTAAGTACTAATTAAAAATGAAAAATCAATTTACTTATCGTTTCTTTTTAGGTATAGAACACTGAAAGAGAAAAAATAAATGTGAATCCACATTAAGGAATACAAAAATAATACAAAAGCATATTAAAACCCAATTCGCAAACAAAAATATTGTTAAATCAAAGAAATAAACATAAAGATAATTTTTCCAACATTCTTGCTAAAGTACCTTTGGCTTCCTATTCTTTCCACGTTCATTTGACTTGTGGGCGTGCATATTATGCAAAATTGCAAGTTAGTTATAGATTATGCTTAATTACAATAAAGCTCATATGAAAAAGTGCACGTAAATATTTATTTTACAAATTTTACCTTAATATTCTTGTATAGTTTTTAAAATTTGCATATTTTCCGGTCATTTATAATTCATATGAGCAAGTATTATAGAAATATTACATACATATTTAATTCAATAACTTACCTTGCGAAGAGCTACCACCAACAATATACTTGTAATAAAAATTACTAATGATGATAAAAGTGAAAACAGAGCAAATATGATTAGAGCATTCCGAACTGAAAAAAAAAATTGTAAATTTGTTAAATTACATAAATTTTTAACAATATAAAATTATTTTACTATGAATATTTCCAACATATACGAATTCATATGAAATTATATAATATCCATAATGAGTTGACCCAGGGGCAGCCATCGCTAGACAATATATATCAAATATTCCTGTGCCAAAAGTAAACATGGCCACAAACTTTAAAATATAAATGTAAAATGTTAGTAAATAGTAAAAATATCGATCTAAATATCTTACAATTGAAAAGATTCCAACTAAAAGTGCACCTTTTTGTATATCAATGTACTCGTTGTTTTTTAAAACAGGTTTCCTGTACCATGGTATGCGGACCGATCTAGCGGAGCGTGATTTAATAGAACATGCATCCGACCTGTTAAAGTTCATAATTAAGAATTAAATATCAAAATACGCTTTTAAAGCAAAATAAAGAATCGATAAAAAGAATAAAATAACAAAAACGAAAAGGATTATGTAATTTTAAGGATTCTTACCTAGCTGTTGTATGTGAATACACCGAATGATTCGATCGGTATGATGAAGGGGTTTTCCTGCCGTAATTCATATTAATGCTCTGCTTAAACAAAAAACCATAAGAAAATTTTCCTGTCGAAATAGAATTTTGAAAAAATGTAAGCAACTTCTTTTTCTCTTTGTATTTAATTTAATTTAATTAATTTAAAAAAAAAAACACTTAATTACTAATTTAAAAATTCCACTTAGCAAATAGACTAAAGGGCGTCACCCACTTATGAAGAAAAATTAAATCAACATGTTTAAATTTCTTATTTTCAAAATATTCAAGTATAGCAATATGTCAAATTTAATAATTTACCTTTAAAAAATTTCAAAAAACTTGAAAAATGAACAAAAATAATTAATTATAATAACAAAACTATGTACATGCTATATAAACTACTCATATTTATATGTCATTAACAAAACAATTGACAATTTGAAAAGCCATTGAAACATTGACATTTTATAAAATTAAGGTTACCTAATGAATTAAAACTTATAAGAATATTTGATAAATAGCGCACTGCGCACCCCGTGGACAGGTGAGGAAAAATAGACATACACAAATACCACAAGAAATTTATATTATATTAGTGTGAATTTTACAAGCAAAATTTTATCTTTGTTTCCTCTTTTTTGTGGAAAATGCTTCTGTGGAAGAACTTCAACGTGTTCAAGAATCAAGTTGAATAGTGCATTTGCCATATTACATTTCAAATCGCTAGCTTACTCACTTACATTTTAATTAAAAATTATACATTTTTGGTTATTATTCTAAAAATTTCTTAACATCCATTTAATCATTTATCTATGTTTTTTTAATTATGTTATAAAACTGAAATTTACTCATTTAAATTTTATTTTGCTGAAAGATTATTTCTCCTTCACCTTCCGATTTTCCATTTATTTTGCAACTTCTTTTCGTCTTTAATGAATTTTTGAATATTTATGAACTGTGATACCGAATTTTTTTCAAATTTTCAGGTCTTGTAAACCTTATGTAATCCTTTATTTTTAAAGGTTTAAAAAGCCAAAACAAGATTTAAAAAGCTTGTGCACCTCGTAGAATTACTATAGCAATTTCACTTGAACCTCCTCAACCTTGTGCAACTGGTTAAAGTATTCACTTTATTTTTAGAATGTAATTTTATACTAAAGATTGTCAAATGTTGCCTAATAATGCATCAGCTGTAAAATAATCTTCCTTACAAATTTTGATTTTAAAAATGTCAAAAATTTCATTTTGAGAAAATTGACAAAAAAAATATTTCCACAACACATCAAATTTAATAAAACTATTGAAGATTTTGAAAACAATGAATAATGAACAAACTTACAAAATTTTTTGACATTATTTTGACATAAATGCCAAATATTTTATCTTGTTATTTTTTTTTCTGTTTCTAAAAATATTTTTGCAAAAGATGAATTTTGAAATAAATTTTGGTAGAAATTTAACGCGCAATCAAATTCTGCAAAAATATTTATATAATTTAAATCAACTAAAATTACTTGCAGAAACTAATTTTAAAATTAATAATAATGAATTTAATAATTTTATCATCCAATATTACTTCACACCAAACAGAATGAGTCATGTCGCCTTGATAAAAACTGAGCTTGTAAAAACTATTGTAGATCGAAAAAGAAAAATATTTTTCTGGTTGTTTTATTTAGCTATTGGATTTTTATGTGTTTCGTATAAAAATGAAGTAAGTTTAAAAAGTAATAAAACAAAATTATTTATGAGCTTATTACATGAAATTATTGCAGGCATCAACTTTAATATTACGAAACATACAAACCTTTATTTATCCAGGAATGAAACTATGGCGAAGAATGACCCTACCTATGATAAACAATTTTCCGGGTATATTTGTTTTGACACTTATGTAAAACTTAAAATATGTTATTTTAAAAATTTTAGGTTTAACCGAGTTATATGACGAAAGTTGTTTAATGATGAATCCATTTTTTCAAGTGGAAGATTTAGATTGTAATCCTTGCTCAAATATTGTAAATGTTTTAGATTTAACAAATGTTGAGAAAACAACAGACTCTGTGCCATTTGTTTTTAAGGTATTTATTGTTAAGAATGAACTTTTATGTAAGATATAGTGTACCTTATAGTTAAATTTTAAATTCATACTTATTACTTTTCAAATTCATAATATGCGTTTTTTCTTTTCAATTTGAATATTTTTGTTGATATTTTTAGGTAAAGCAAATCCCAGTTACAGTCAATGATTTTTTTGAACTGTATAAATCAAATAAGGAAATCTTCCAAAGGGATGCATACAGAGTACGCTCAACGAATAATGAAATAACGAATTTAGATGAATTATTTAGAGATTTTAATCGAACTCATCAAACACAAAGTCATAATTTATGGAGATGTAATCGAATGTCTCCAGCACGTCTAATTAGACAATTATTTGTTCGTCCAGAGCGTCTTCCAAGTACTGGTATAGCATTAGAACGTTTTTTATCAATGGATACCCATAATGCAGAATCATATATACTGCCAGATGGGGAGTGTTCAAATATGTATATACAACAAATTCAAGGTACTCGTAATATTATTCTCAGGCCTACAATTGAGTGTCGGAATAAATGTCGTTCGATTTCGATACGTTTAACGCAATCGTATGTTTGTAAGTAAATTTTAAATTTAAAATATATGAGATGATATAAATATTTTGTTTTTGCCATTTTAGTAAGTTATAACTGGTGGTATTGGAAACCTGTTTCTGCCCCTGATAGCTTTTCGAAAACTTCATCCATTAGTCTTATAGGATCTTATTGTTAAGGAATAATATAATTTAAGCTATATACACAAACGCATTTCTACAAATCATAAATATATATATATATATATATATATATATAGACATAGAAACACGCGTAAACAGAGTATATATATATATATATATTACCATATATTTGTGTATATGTAATTTAAAATTCAAAGGCTAAAATGTTAAGACGCTAAAGCAAACAAATTTTGCAGCAAAAATAAATAGATAGAAAAATACAAATTTTAAAATGTATGAACAAAATTTTACATTGCGAAATAATTGTAAAAGATGATATTCAATTGCGTATACACAAATATATTATACATTCTAGTCAGCATTTCAAAACTCCTTCGTTTTTTTTATAGCGATGCTGCATGTAATGAGTAAAAGTTGCATCAACTCAAAAAAAATACCTTTTTAAATTGCTATAAAATTTTATTTGAATTTAACAGTAGTCCCTTAATTTTTTGTTTATTAACTACATTTGAGGATAAATTTGAATGAAAAAAATTTTAATATTAAAATAATTTTATTTTTTTTTTGCAATAAATAGTTATGTACATAAAACTAAAACAATAATTTATTGCTATTAGTGTATGGAATTGCTAAAATATAACTGTGCAAGGGTGTTGCAATTCAGTATAATTATAATCATTTTATAATTATTTTATTTATTTAACTCACATAAGTAAATTTTTTTATTATATTGTGTTACTACTCACTCTTAATATGCAATAAATTATAACTAGTCTTTAAACACTAGAAATAGGAAAGTTCCTACTTTTTTTTACTTTTAAAATAGTTGTTTATCCGGGTAAACTAGGGGACTAATAATGTGCAAATTTTTGGCTGAGCTTTTTAAAAATGTACATATGTAAATAATTTAGTACTAAATTAAAATTTTCAGGCTTAAATATTTAATTATTTAATATGTTTTTCATTTATTATTTATTACATAGCATTATATTTATGTTGCAAAATAACAGAAAAATAATTATAGCTTTTGTGTATGCGATAATATCAAGTTAAAAAACGGAAAAATATGTAGAAAATAATAAGCTCAGTCAAAGAGATAGTAAATTAATGATAAAACATTTTTAGAATTATTCTTGAAATTTGAATAATCTCATTTGCAGGGAAAATATCTAACTGAATGTTTGAAAATATGTAATAATTTCAACCCTCTTCCAAAACAAAAAAATTATTAATAATTTTTAAACATTTTGTTAAATCTTTTTTATATTAATTACGTTTTTAATTGACTGAATTGATAATTATTGTAAGATATTTAAAATTTATGGTTCAATTTCGTAAGTGATCTTGTTAAAAAGTAAGATATTAAAAGCCTTTGTTGCCAGAAAACTCAAGTAGATTGTAGGGGACAATGACACTACGTAAACATAAGAGTTTATGTTGCATTTATTATAAATTAAAGTTAAATAAAATATGAATTTATTTTACGTGCCATTTTTATTTTTAAAATAAATTATGTGCAGTTATTTTTAATTGCAGCTATAAATAATGACATTTGGAAATTATCAAAATTTTTTAAAGTACTAATCAAAATGAGGATTTATTTTTTGAATACCGTAAATGATATTAAATTTTATATGAATCTTTTATTATTTTATTCTCTTATTCGGAATCTCTATCAAAAATAACCAAATTGTCTAAAGTCTGAAAATTTAAAATCGCATGTAAAAAATTAAACAGATACATATACGAATGATTAATTTTAAAAATGCAATCCTTGAAATTTGTAAAAAATTTTCGAAAATATTTTAGTTATTACTTCAAGAACTGCATTTTTGCAAGCATAATTTGTATTTTCGTTTGTAATAATTTGTATAATTATTTTAATTTACATATGTAATAAATGCATTTTATATGTATGTAGATGTATATTCTTTTTAGGTATTTTTAATAACCAAGGATTTTGTTTTTATAGCACTGAAGAATTTATTTTGTGTCGATTTTTTTTCTGTATATTTAAAAATTTATGTAAGTTTTTGAAATCTTTGTTATGAGCAAAAACTTAAGCAATTTTTACTCTCACATGAAGCGACATTCCGGATAAAATAATTAAAAACACATATATATTTTATATAACTTACATACAATATATTTTTTCGTAAGCATATTGTCAATTATAATAACAAATTTATTTAAAATTTTGTTTGTGAAATTACTAATATAATAAATGTACAATTATATTTTGAACTTTAAAATTAACATTCATATAATTGATTGATTTGTGTTTATATTTTAAGATATGATAAAGGCAAATATATAATCTTTGATAAAAAAAATTAAAAACTTATGTTTCATATGAAAAAAAAATGTTTTAGAAAAAAAATAATACAAAAAATTTCTAAAATATAACTAGGTTAATAGATAGGTACACAAGTTGATTCAATTTTTGTCAAATTGCAAATTAATATTGCAATACAGATTTAACTTTGAATATACACTTTCAATATTACAATAAACACTTTCGACGTAGAAAAAAATTTAAATTAAAATGGTTGAAATCTTGCCCAGATCCGGTAATAATAAGTTAGGGTAGCGCAGATTTGAAAAATACTAGTTACCAGTTAGTAGGAATATTAGTTACAAGTTGTCACTACTCAATCTCTATGAGAAAACTATTTGCTTTGAAAAAATAAAAAGACATGATCTTTTCCATTTTTCACAAATATGTACATATATACATATAAAATCTTTATTTATATTCAAAATTACTAGAGGCTCGTAAATTATTACAGAAAAGTTAATTTATTAAACAAGGTGAAATTTGTGCTAAAACTAAAGCCTCATGTTATTATAAATACATATTTTAACATATAATATTTATTAAGCTAAAATAAATTAAACACCAGAAAATTTGTTTGACCGCAAAGAAAAACTTTATACCTACTAATTTTTTTACAAAATTTATATAAAAAATTAAAACAAATTCTAGTCTTTAAAATTCGAATTTTTATCCCGATTTCCTTAATACTGATTTTGAATTTACAAAAATTCTTTTACGGTCGAAATATATTTATTATTTAAATATAATATAATTTATAAGACATTCAATTGTTCTAATAAAGGCTAGAAATACATACATAGCTTCAAAAACAAATTTCAACTAATTTAATCAGTTAAATTTTAGTTATAAACATTTCACAGTTAAAATTAAAATTAAAAATTTATTCCAGTTTTGTTTTGAATTTTTTCTTTAAAATTACTGGAAGTAATGACAATAAAGCGCACACACTCAAAGCAAAAGCGGAAGTCCAAGAGAATGCATCATTAGAGCTTGTCATTGTATGTAATGTTTTACCAGCCTGAATTGCTATCACTGAAGGTGGTGCAACACCAAAAAATGTTCCAACAGCAAATGGGTATAATGGCACACCAATAACCGGAGCACATAAACTAAAAATGAAGATATATTTTTTACTTTGAAAATTTTTTAAAAAATTTATGTTTTACTTAATAAACCAGTTCGGTAAAAGTGGAGTCATCCGCAAGAAAAGTATATAACTAAGTAAATTATCTCGATGATTTTCAACATGTTTTGACCATTCATTTGCACGGTCAGGCCAAAAATGTTTGATTAATCGTCGACCCACTAATTGTGATAATAAATAGCACATAGTTGCTCCAATTGCTGAACAACAACACACTATTAATAAAGCTATCGGAAAATTATACAAGAATCCACTTAAAATTGAAAGGAACAACGATCCGGGAATGGCAAATGTTTGAAGAAATATGTATACAACTATAACACCGAACATTACTTCAAAATAATACATGTCTTTGTACCTATCTAATACTTTTGCAAGCATTTTTGCATCTTCTATATTCCAGGGGAGTTTAACATGTTGCTTCTCCGACCTTAAAAACAAAGTTTGCATATTTTACAATATTTTTAAATACTTTTATTATTTCATTTAATAGTTACTATTAGTAATATCATTATTTCTAATAGTAATAGCAAATGAAATAATTGTTGTAGCTTATGAAATACATATAACACGTAACAATGTTTTGTGAGCAGGTGATAAGCATTTTTATGATTCTATATGAAATTTAAAACTTACTCTTCCAATTCTGGAAACATCATGTATACGTAAAATAATGCCGATAAACTAAGAATAAAAATAATTAACAATATCACCAACGACTTTTTTGTTTCTGATCGATTAAGTGGTGTTGTTCCATTTTGCGTTTTCTTGGTATAATCTGACCCTGGCCCTGAAAAAACAAATATCTAGCTTTTTCCTAAATTATATAGGTTATCATTACCATTCATGACACTTTTTCCTTTAGCGTGCATTGTATTTTTAAAATAATATAACTATTTTTGTATTCTGTTAGAAATAAGCTTAATATATATTTCAGAATTTTTTGCTAAAAAAAAATTGTTGCAGAAACGAAGGCAAAACAAAAAAAGTGACATTTAATTTCACGTTTGAAGTATAATGACAAATAACTTTTTATTTTACCAAAATTTTTCAAGGTACCAAAAATTTCTACAAATAAGTGCTGCCGTTGTATGGGTATTTTAAAAAGCCAGTGTTTATATTTATGTTGAAAAGCGTTTAAAATCATTTTCTTGCTCGCTCATATTACTTTCCAACGTGTGTCACGTTAACAAAAAATAGATGAGGTGAATGACATTAAAAAGTAGCTAATGTTAAGAGAATGAAAAATTCACTGAAAAAATTTTGGTAATTATTTCTTTTATACTTACTTAAAACTAATCACAATCACAATATATTTTGATATATTTTCTAAAAATGTATTGTGTTCATTTCTTTTCTGTTCTAGACGGGCACACTTTTTTAGACAAGCTTTTACATTGAAAAGTCATTTTGATTGAAAAGATTATTTTCTGAACTCTTGTGAAAATTTTTTCGATATGTCATCTTGCAGTTGGTTCTTTTTAGCGTTTGTGTTTGGCTAGGTTGAAATAAAGAAATATTTTATTTAATTTTAAGATTTGAAAGTATTTTTATAATTTCTGCCTTAACAACCTTTCGTTGATTTAAGTAGTTTTACAAATTTTTTTTACAAATTTTACATATAATATGAATCCTTGTTGTAATCCAGTTCCCTTTCAAGATGAGCATGAAGATGATCGGTGGATGAGGTAAATTATTAACTAAGAATGTCGAATATTTTACAATAATCATTTCATAAAATAAAAACTTAAAGATTAAAAACCTTTATATAAGTTTTTCAAGCGTATTAAAGTTTCGGAAAAAGTTATTTATACTTTTAAATTTTCTATAAAATTTACAAAATTTATTGAATCTCATGTTCCTAATTTTTTGATTTCAATATTTCAGTATTCATAAACGATTTATATCCGAATGTAGAGAAAAAGATCCAGATGTAATTTTTATTGGAGATTGTATAACGGAGGGAATACAGCATACAGAGACATGGAATAGTTTTTTTGCACCACTGCATTGCCTTAATTTTAGTATTCGTAAGTTAATTAAACATAAGTAACTGAGACAAAAAGAATAAAAACCAAGTTTACTTTTTAAGGAAATGACCGAGTAGAAAATGTACTTTGGCGAATAGAAAATGGAGAACTAGATAACGTGAAACCCAAGGTAAAAAAATGAATATTTTAAAAGAAATTTATGTATATTTTATTTTTCATAAATCTAAAGATTATTGTTCTGCATGTTGGTACAAATAATATCCAAAATACCGCTCAAGAGATTGTTGAAGGAATTTGTAAAATTGGTAAGGGTTTTATTCAAAATCCAATATGATATTATTGAAAATTAACTATGTTTTATTAGTTCAAGCTATACGGGAAAAACATTCAGCAGCTTATATTGTTCTTCCAGTAAGTTTTGCAAGTTACAATTTCGGTATATAGTACTCTTACATTTTCTCTAATATACATTTCTAGACTCTACTACCACGAGGACAACAACCTAATAATTTAAGACAGAAAAATTCTACAGTAAATCATCTTCTTAAAGAAAAATGTTCTAGCCTTAACAGAGTTCAAATCGTTGATATTGACAAAGGTGTGGTGCAAAGTGACGGTTCAATAAGCCATCACGATATGGTAAAAAGATATAATTTTAAAAAATTTGGTTTTCATTTTTTATAAGTATAATATGTTCAATATTATTTTTAGTTTGATTACTTAAATCTTACAAATTCTGGGACAAAGAAAATTTTTGAGCCTGTGCATGATTTGCTATCACAAATCTTAAATGAAAATGAGCCTGAAAAAGATCTTACTCCATCAGAATAGAATAATAAATTATTTTTTTTATATACAAACATATTTTTCATAAAACAACTACGTGCATAAAATATAAAATTTATGAATTTTAAACTGAATTAAGTAAAAAAAAGAACATAAAGTAAAATGTTTAAATATAAAATATACAACATATGTAACTAATAAATCAAATGAAAATAAAAGATATTTGATAGTGCATTTAAAATTACTCTTATATTTATAATTTATGTTTCTTCTTTAAAACTGCATTTTTATTAATTTATACAAAAAATGTAATATTATTTATATATTTATAAAGTAAAGATTATTTTTCATAGTATACTCAAACTATGTAAAAAAGTAATATACTAATTGTTTAAAATTTCCAATTTAAAACAAAAATATAAAAATAAGTAAACAAATAAAAATTAAGCCAATTTATTAACTTTAAGAATGAAACATTCACTCAAATTTATTAATATTATATTGTGTGTCTGGCTAGAGTTAAAAATGTCTTGTTGATTTAAAAAAAAATAGTTTTGGAGTTTAAATTAACTGCCTTAGTTACCATAAATTGTAATAGCAGAAAAACAATAAATTTAATTAGATATGAATGTGTTTGTAATTTATAATATAAAACCATCGAATTTAAAATACATACCTATATTAACAATATTTTTTGTTAACTTTAAGTCACATACACATTAGATCCAGTTTTTTATTGTAAAAAAAATATAAAAAAAAAAAAACAAATTGAAAAATACAAAAAAAAATAATATAAAATATATTTTCGCAATTTTGAAATTTCTGTTAAATTATTGAATTATTTTGCACAATACAGCTTTATATGTTTTTCTTATTTACCTATCTATTTAAAAAAAAAATTCTTTTTATATTTTATATTATAGTCAATGTGATAAAAATATATGAAGAAAAAATTATTAAAGTTTTCAGTGAATATTTTGTAATAAAAATGGATAAAAAATTACAAAAATTTTCCACAAGAAACAAAAAAATATTTTCTTTTTTTATAATTTAATACCAAATTTTGTAGATTTAAAATAGAAATTTCTTCTTTTAATTGAAAAATTAAAAATTAAAAAAAAAAAGAATCAAAAATTAGAATAGCTTAAGAAATCATACCTTATAAGTGCATGAAATTATATTAAAAATATAAATTTACCATAAATATATTAATGATATTGTAATTTGATGAAAAATTGATATTTTAAAGCAAACGCATCGGAGCTTTTTTTATCGTAATTAATTATATATTATATATGAATTATATATGAATTATATAAAATTGAATATTAATTAATTTAAAATATTAGGTGAATATCATATTACATTAAAAAACATCACTTCTTTTTTTTTTTTTTTTTTTGATTTATTAAAATATTCTTTTTAAATAGAATATATTTTTTTAATTAGAAATTTCGCATTTATATAATGCTTGATTTGTGCTTAAATTTAATTTATATACATATATATATATTATATTTTTTCAATAGTCAATTCCATATGAAGGCATTCCTAATTAATTTACATTGTAGCGCATTAAATGAGACATAAATATTTAAATAGAATTTAAAAAATAAAAATAATTATGATGTTTTGTGATTTAATTTATTAAAGTTTTATTTAAACTCAAATTTATTGTTTTATTAAGAAAATAAATAAATAAAAACAAATTCATATAATATCGTTTTATTTTATTATTTGAAAACTTTTTCAATTACTAGTAAAAATAAATTTTTAAATTTCACATTAACATGTAAATTTAATATAATCCCATTTGCAGGGCACTACCAAAAATTTAATAAATATTAAATTTTATATCAGCTTAACCAGGAGAAAGTTTGCTACGAACCATATAAAACAAATACAATTAATCTTTACAATAAAGGCAGTGTACGTTCGAATATCGTAACATGCTTAAAGCCAAAACATTTTTAAAGATTTTTTTTTTTAATCTGGCAAAAATATTTTGGGTTTGAAATAAATCAAGTAAATAAATGTAAATTATTAAAAATCTGAAAGAGGTAACTAGTTAGTTTCTGTGGATTTTTTTCTGCTTCAACTTTTAATGTTAAAGAAAATTTTTATTTAAACAAAAATTTTAATTTTAAAATAGATATATTTTTATTATACATATAATTGTATTAAAACGCACTTTACATTTTGCAATAAAATTCATGCTAGTTATATATACATACATAATATTATTAAATGTATAATTAAAAAAAAAAAAGTAAAAATTTCTTAAAAAATATTTTAAGTACCGAAAATGTTAAATTTCAAAAAAAAAATTATTTTATATTTTTCATTGTTATCTGAAGTTTTCAATTAGAGTCTTATTGTAATTTAAATTTTAAGGCTATTATAAGTTTACAATAATGTAATAAAGCTTTATATGCATTTTATAATGTTAAATTCACTTAGGCAATTTATTTACATATTAAATTTTTTTTTTTTAAACATTGAAATAAAATTACAAATTAAAATTTTATATTTACTTTTCAATAAGAGCTAATATTTTTTTTACGGTGAGTTCTTAATTACTTGTAGTAAATTTTGTTTACTTATTATTTTATTTATGAAGCTAATTTTTACCTGGCCAATTAATAATTGCAAAAAAAAAATGGAGAGCTCTATTATTTTAAATTTATTTTTTATTCAAGAATTTTGTTATATATTTCATCTATTTGTGCATTTTTTCAGTCACTACTTTTTTGGAACTTTTAGCTAGATTTTCCAAAAAAATAAAAGTATCATAGATTTTAGTTAAAACTTGAAGTTAATTTTATATTTATAAGCAAAATTAGGATATGTATATGCAATTTCGTCCAAAGGCTTGTAATTGGATAAATTTAAGAAATGGAACGTAAAATACCCTTTCTACCATTTTAGTAATTTGAGTTGTGAGCGCATAATAAATATATCTGACCACAAATTTTTGTTTTGAAAAAATGCATTTTATAAAAAAAGATTTTAATTATTTTTTCAATATTATCAACTAATAAGTACTAAGATTTGTGAAAAAATTTGAACTAACTTATAAAATTTTTAAAATATTATCTAAACTTTAAAAACGGGATTTCATTCATTATAATTATTCTTCTTGGATAGTGCCGAATTCCCTAATAAAGAATGTTTATTTTGTTAAATTGGCGAATATTTTTCGAGTTTCTCTAAGTTTAAAATTATTTAATAATTTTTTTCCCCTAAATTTTGCTTTTCAATTTTAAGTTTCTGGAACAAACCGCACAATTTTTTTATAATTCCTATACAAAAATTTAAAAAAATACACGCAAAAGTTCCGATAACAATCTCGATTGAACAGCAATATATTATCGTTATAATTATAGCAGAAGACTGCATAAATTTTAAACATTGCATTCTTTAACTTTCAGATTATTATACATAAAAATTGTTACATAAATATCGTTTAATTTACATAAATTAAAAATTAAACTAAAAAAAAACAAAAATATGCATATTATGTACTTTATACTTATATTTTATATATATACATACATATATAAACGTATAATATACTATTATTAATATATTTATATAAAAACATACTTTAAAAAGGCACATGTAAAAAATTTAAAAAAAAATTTCATTATACATAAATATTTTATTTAAATTTTTTTGTTTTCTTATTATTAAACAGACCTCTAAAATTAGGCCACATAATTTTTGAGCAACATAAGTTAAAATTCATCGTAAAATTCGTTTTTGTTGTTCTTATATTTTTCTTTTTGTTTTTCGTATTATGAGTTTTAAATTAAAAGCTTAATTATATATTATTATTACATTAATTATTAGCTACAAACCATGGCCATTTTTTGTATTCAAAATATAATTGATAAAATTCAAAAATTAAATAATAACAGATGTATGTTTGAAAAGAAAAAAGTATTGAGTTCCAGTACGTACAATAAATTAGATCGTAATCAGTAATGTCATTTACAAATTGATAAAATTGGCAAAAATTGCGTTATTTTGAATACAGTCGTGTTTATTACTACATTAGTGTTAATATTTCTGATTAAATTCTTAAATTTTGGTAATTCATGGTGATATAAAATAAATGTTTATGGAAAATATAGTGTCTCTGAGTACGGTCTTAATATTATGTATTTTATTATACGATATAATTATAGCATGAATTGCAGGGTAAAGGTATATAGTTTCAATTCAATTATCAACTTTTCTGTCTACTTAAATAACGGGAAACATTAATAGAGCATAAAAAATAGTTTCTATTTTAATTTTTCTAATTTAGATTTCTACGTTTTTTTAAGATAATAGAAAGATTCTGCTGTTTTTTTTTTGTATAAATATTATTTTTAGTATACCAAATCTGCGCATCTTTATCAAATAAGTACCAAATTGAAATTTCGAGAAAATATGATCAAAAATTGCTTTGATTATACCGTTAACCAATGACAGTCATACATGTTCAATGCATACTTAATTGAATGTTAGCATAGTAACTTGACATTTAAATTAATGCATACTTAGTTGAAATTTAAGTTATTATATTGTATAACTATATTTAACATAAAAATATGTTAAATTATATATATTTTAATAAAGCAATTTCTAATAACTAGGAATTTTACTATACGTTATCAATGCTTCATATATTTATGATTTTATTATAAAACCTTAATTATTTAAATCATTATGTAGAGTATTAACATTTTCTAATTAAATATTATGAATTTAAGAAATTTTTCTATTTTAAAATGGAAATTTATCAATTATGTATGAAAATTACCAGAGAAGGAAAACTTATCATATATATATACCTTGAATACATGCATAAAGTAATAATAGTAAATATTTTCTTATTATATTTTATAATTATTAAGTATATAGGCACATATAATCTGTAATTTCAGAATTACAATAATACTATATTGCTACATAATTCAGCAATTTAAACTGATAAGCTGAATTTTGTATTAATGCCGTATTACTGCAATTTTGAAGTCATGGAATATCACCTTTACATCTCTTTATAAAACAAATACTTTACAATAATTTTGATTATTAAATTTTCTATACTAACATTATTAATTGTATAAGTTTTTTTTTTAAATAAGTATATGTAATATTTCCAATATTTAAAGATGATATTATTTTATTATATTATATTCATCGTTCGTTCGTTGTATATTGTATAATGTGTGTTATTATATCACGTACGCGTATGCACGCACGTCATACGTTTTCAAATTATTATTACAATATTAAAAAATTAAATAAAATTTTGAATATAATATTTATAAAAGTATAATTATATCTTTTAATTATATACTAATTTTGGTAATTTTGCATATATTATAAAAATTTATTGGAAGACTAAATGGCATGTAACTAATAATAATAATTATAAATTTTATATTTATTTATTCATACAATTTTATTTTTATACAATTATTATTTAATTATATTACTATATATAAATATTTCTTTTATTTTATTTTTTTTTTTCAAAATTCTAAATGATTCGATTTCTAAATGAATAGTATAATTTTTTGTAAATGATTTACTAACATCTAAGATATGATTTTTATTATTATATACGATATTTGATATACGATATACTTTATACGATTATTTAAATTATATACATACATATATTGATTAAAGCTGTTTATGGCTGTAAAAATATAGAAAATTTACATTATTATTTTTGAATTTAAAATAAAAAATTTATAAAATAATTTATGATATTACATAATATCGAAATATTTATACATATATAATTATGGAGTACATGATAAATTTTATAAACTTTGTTATAATTTACATATGTACTAAACATTTAATAATTAATTAAAAAAATGTTTTTTTGTAAATGATTTTTATTATTCGATATTCTTTTTACTAAATTTATAGTGCAGTCCAATTATTTATAAATGATCGCAATGATTTTCCTTTTTACGGTATGAAAAACGTAATGTTAGTCTGTCCGAAATTTCAGATGTTGCTGGTTTAAAATGCTTATTGTCATCTACTTTTAATACTTTCTGTTGGTATATATTTTTTCTTAAAAATACAACATTGATATGAGTTTGAATTTGTCATTGTATTTCTAATGTTGGCCGAATTAAATAAGAAATTTTTGTCATTTTAAATATTAAATAACTATGTTTTCTTTAACAAGGCTATAGTCTTGTATAATTTTGTTGTAAGACAATAGAGAAATTTCTATAATTTCGAACTCACTAAATGTGAGAAAGAAGTACAAGTAAAATTTTTGAAAATGTAAACAGAAATAGTTCGAGTTAAAGAAATGTAAGAAATAGAGAAGTTAGATGTATTTCAATAAGAATCTACAACAAGCTAGTTAGTTATTAATAAGCAAATATCGTGGTTTGTTGGCGTCGATAGTGCGTCTCTTGATTTTTTATTATATAGAACTAAATTCGCTTGTTCTATGTATTCTATATGAGTAGAGCTTGTTCTACAATAAATACATCTTCGTACTATAAATGGCTATAGCTCTTTGTAAACCAATACATTTTTTAAAAAAGCGAAACTAAGCAAATATTTTTACTAGATCTTTGTAACAGCACATTTCTCTAATTAAAGTTTTTTACTAAATACATAATTAACAATTTCAAAATAAATTTTGACAAGGAGTATATTATGTTTTTCTTAATATTTTAATTAAAATTTTAGTCTTTATTTAAACATTTTAATTTGCACTTAAAAAATTCGCATTTTTATTTTATATAGAAATTTCATGTGGTTGTTTATGTAATACAGAAGTATGAGAATTAAACAGGAATAGAAAACTGATAATTTTACGATATGTTTTATTTTAAATAATTTTAGATTGTACTTTATGCATTCGAAATGGCTAAAGAATTTGAACCTAAAATATCTAACAACTATTCTTTGAAATACAAATATGTAAATAAAAAAAATTTGTTTAGCATAATGAAATCAAGTACTGGTACTTTAACACCTTAATGAAAGTCTCTAATTAATTTGACCTATTCAGCACTTGAAATTATAGTTCTGAACATGTTTATTTGATTTTAGATCTACCTTTAAGTAAACCATTTTGCCCTCATTATATTCAGTTTTTCTTATAAAATTTTAAATAAGATGAACATACTCCCTGACTTCAAAATTATAGCAAAATGGTATCTAATACACAATTCAACTTACAAATTCCAATTACTGAATTGTGTATGAGATTACCTCTAATTTTAGTAGTCAACAACTTTTTCCAATAATATAATGACAATTTTTTTCCATGTTATATTTTTTGTTAATATTAGAATATTGGAAATACTAATATAGTAAATATAAAATACAGAATACTTTACATAACAAGTGTATTTCAATATATATACATACCTATTGCAATTGTTATACTTGTAAGATTATATAACATAATTATAATACAATGCGGTAAGCACAAATCTCTTCAAAATGTTATTTTTCATTATACTAAAAACATATACACTAAAAACAAGGCAGTGCTATCACAGATGCAAAAAAGATTTGTATCTGAAATGTTTAGTAAGAAAAGGAGAAAAAATAGTGACCAAAAAATATAATATGTAATTGTAAAATTTATTATGAAAATTCAGAAAGATATAGAAGATAATTTTAATTTAGAATTTCCTTTTCAAATGCAATAATGGCTCAGAAGAAAAATAATGATAAAATTATTAATGAAATAGGTCGTTTCCCAGTATGTCAAAGATTTGAAGATTGTTTTAACCACGTCATTCGTTTGATTTTGCAAATAACAATGATTTGCATCTAAGCAATTTTTGCAATCGAATTTTTAAATTTCAAAATTAAAATGTTTTCGCCGTCAACCAATTTCTCACAAATATAAAATTCTCAGAAATGCAAAAAAAAAAAAAAAAAAAACTAAAGCAATAATCAGTTGCCGTTGGTGACGTTTGTTGGAACTTATGACGCGTATATCATGTCGCATTTGAAATTCACGACTATAATCAGTTGCACGCATTTCATATACTGGTAAACGGCTGCAATTACAGTTCTTTCAATAAATTAAACTAAAAATTAATTTAAAAATAAATTAAGTCAATGTAAGTATGAATTATTTAAAATTTTTTGAGTTATTTTTGAAAAAATAGTTTTAAAATTTAAAAAAAAATTTTTAAAAAATAATTATTTAATATTAGATAGTCACTGCATGAATTACTTTTTAAATTTTTATCTCAAAAATAGATTTGCATTTTACTTGATTAAGAAATTTATATGTTTTTTTTTTCAAATATTAAATTAATGTTATTAATATATTTTATATAATTAAATTAATTTAGATAAAAATTATACAAAAATTTATAGTGATATTTAAGAATATTATAAATATAAATTTTAAATGATTGTTTTAAAAATGTTGGCTTACGTATTAATTTACGCTTTTATAAATAAAATTTTTATTTTATATTAATATTATATTTTATGTACATTTTTAATTATTTATGATAATATGTACATTATTTAAATGATTTATTTAAAATTTACTTTAAAAAACTATTTGACTACTATTTAACTAGTAATGCGATTATAAAAAAATTTGATGATATAAAATTTTTGAATTTAATATTCTGATATTTTACTAATGTTATTAAAATCTAAATATAGTATATAATTTCTATAATTTATGTGCGTTTAATATTTAAATTAAAATTTTTATATATAAATAATTATTTTAAAATAAAAAACAAATGAAAATGTTAAATTTTAAATTAATTATAATAAAAATTGACTGAATTAACTGAAAAATATAGAAAAAAATTATTTTCTTATGTAACATGATTTGTGATTAGTAAGGCAAGCCTATTGGCGTTACAAAAAAAAAAATACCATACGTTAATCTGTTATACAATAATTACTTGTAATTCTTAAATGATTTTATATAAAAATATTTTTATAACAAATCTTTAAGCAAAACTAAATTATAAATAGTGAATTTTAATTTGGAAGTCAAAAGAACACTTATAATTCGAACTAAGACCTTTACATAAAGTGAGGTTTCAAAATTTATTAGTTTAAATAATTGTATACTCGTAATAATTTTCTGTGTTTTTTGGTGACAAAAGAGATATTGGATTCATGCACATTATTGAACTCAACAAGTCGAGTCAGCTATGATTAAACCAATAATTTAATATGTTTAAGCTCTTCATTTAATATAAATATTGTACTAAAAGTATATAATTATAGCTTGGTATTATTTCAGCTATATGTTACTCATGTATTTTCTTAAACGTATCAAAATAATAGCAGTTCTTCCATCATACCATGTTATAAGATGCATCACACGATATGAAAGCGTAATATTATGGGATTATCATGTGTTGCATCTTTAGAAAATACCAGTGTAAAATTTTTGTTACCATCCAACTAAATTTCTCAAACTGTTTATAAAATTATTTTTAAAATTAATACTAAAAAAGCACTAATTTCACTTTGAAAGAACTGTTTTAAACTTCAAGCTTAAAATAATAAAAAGAAATATCAAAAAGAATATTAAACTCCAGGGAAGAATATTAATTTTAAAGAAATTAAAATAATAGCATTAAAATAAAAAAATATAATTTATTTACTCAAAACAATCATGGAAAGGAAACAATTATTTAAATTTAATAAAATTATTATAGGTACCTAAAACAGAAAATAAAATTTGAGGCCCACGAAATAAAATGCAAAACAAATTTACAAAAAGTACTAAACAAAAATCATTAAGAAACTTAAAAAAAAAAAAAAAAAGAAAATAAAACACGAAAATTTCGAACCTTATGCTGGAAATATTTTATTAAAAAACATATCCACAGCTCGCATCATTCTGCAATTAAAAAAAATTTAAAAAGTATATTTAAATTAAAAAAAAATTAAACTCATTCCAGTATTTGAATTGTGTGCCTTATCATTAAATGTAAATATACATATATATTAATTCGAGAGGAAAAATAAAATTTAAAGAAAAAGTATCGATATACCAAAATCGAGATTTTGGTATAAATACGAAAATTATAATTGAAAAATAATTAAATGTGTTGCTGGCTATAAGGGAATTGAATTAAGGATTACAATAAATTTTAAAAAATTTAAAATGAATTCTGGAAACAAAACTTGGAAAAACTTATTAAGTGTGATTGATTATTCATATCATAAACACTAAATACAAAAATTAAAACTAACTCGTCGAAATTCGAATATTTTTGCATACTGCCGCCTTATGCTGCATTTGATAATATATTTATTAAGAGAAACACTTTTAAAAATAAAAAAAATTGCCTAAATAATTCTTTGCAGCCGCCCTTACAACCATAAAATATCCAAGTATTTTTTGATAATAACAAATACCAAACAGGTTGGCGGTCTTTAAGCTTAAAATAATTGCGATTTCTTTATTACATTTATTATGTAACTGGAATGAAACAGTATGAAATTATAAAGGGAAATAAATAAAGGCAAACAATAAAAAAGAAAAATAAAAATTTCAATGAACAAAAACATTAAAAAAAAACCTAAAATACAAAAAAAAAAAAAAAATACACATAAATTCTTTTAAAAAATATATAATTTTAGCAGTTTTTTTTTAATTATCTTTTTTTTTTTTTTGTTTTACTTATAATTAAATTAAAAGATAAATTTATTTTTTTTTAAATAGAAATAAAAATAGATAATACAATAGAGTCCTAACACTTTTCTCATATAAAAATTTTTTGCTGTTCCTTTTTAATTTTTAAATTAATAAAATTTTGCTTTTTTAAACAAAAAAAACAGTTACGTTTATTTTTCTTTATAATCAAAATGATAAAAAAGTTTTTGTAAATTTTAAAAAAATAGTAAAATCCTATAATTTTTTTTTTCTGATATTCCAACTTTGATTTTTCGGGAATAATAAAAAAATTTTTAATAAATTATAAAATCAATTCAATTTTATTAATTCAAATTTAATTTTAACTTTTTATTTTCAGACGATTTTATTTAATAAATTTAATAGATAAAATATTAAAAATTAATTTGTGGATCAAATTAGGGAGACTTTCGATAATTCAGACATGCACTGAATGTTCTAAATTAAATCTTAAGCCTTTTTTACACATACAAATCTGCAGAAAAAAAATATTTTGGTTTTGCAGAATTAAAGCAAGTTATTCTTCAACATTAACATTTTTCTAATGTGTTCCTATAAAAGAACTTAAAAATTCCTTTAGAATTTCCAGCACAGCTGCCATTTTCGAACATGCTTTTTTTGCAGATTTTGCAATTTCAATTTATCGAAAGTGTTTTGTATTAAGATTTAACTTATAGCTGAATTATAGAAAATCCCCTAAATAATTTAATGTTTGGATTTGGCAGTAAAAAAAAAAATTGCTTTGATATTTTAACTTTGCAATTTTAATTTTGTGAAATGCTGACATTCTTTTAAGTAACATAATCATATTATTTTCAAATTTTCTTATTATTAATTGGATATTTTATATTACAATACAATTGAAACTAGTTAATAAAAAAAAAAAAACAGAATTTTAAAAGTTTAAATTGTTTAATTGAAAAATTTTTTATTGTTTTTTATTTGATTGTTAAAGTAAAAATACACTTTTATAAAATTTTTCTAATTTTTTATTTTTAATTGAAAAATATTAATATCAAATTTTGCCTATATTGATGCAATAAAATGTTCTTATTGTTTCTACAATAACAACGCCAATTTAATTTGTTTTATTTTATTGAATTACTTCTTTTATTCCACCAATAAACTAAAATTTATTTTTATTTTATATTAATTTTAATAAAAAAATAAAATTTATTTTAATTTAAGGAAAAATTTCTTTATTTTTAAAATTTAAATAATTTAAAAAATATCATTTTATCGATTAAATCGAAAAATCGTGTTAACCATCATCAGAGTTTATTATTCCCAAAAGAATAAAAGTAAAGAAATATATAAATATAAATATATATATATATATATATATATATATATATATATATATATATATATATATATACATATTGTATAAAATATGTATATAAATAGTAAAAATTTCAATAAAAAAAATTATATAGCGGGTTTTCTTTTAATATTTTGTTAAAATAATTATATTTTTTAATTAAAAAAAATTCTTTCTTGTTATATAATAAAATATTTTGATTATCTTAAAAACTAATTAATAATTTTTTCGTTCGTTCTGTGCCTACATTATTTAATATTTTAATATATATATATTTTTTTTTCTTTGTTTTAATATTTATTTTTTAACTTTATTATTATTATAGGAAATTAATAATAAAAATGATAAAAAATAAAATAAAAAAAAGGAGGACTAAAACGAGATTTAAGTTATTACAAGATAAAAAAAAAATAAATTTTATTAATCGTTATTATTTTGTTAATATTATTTAAAATCACTGCTTTAATGATGAATTAGCTGGAAGTGTGGCGGATCTTTGTACATTAACTGCAAATGGCTTTAAATTGGAACGAGTTGATTGGCTGATTTTTTTTTATATAGTGGGTGTTGAAGAACAAATTACAATTTTTAATTTTTTTAATTTCAATTTGATTATGTGTTAATATTTTCATGATGTTGTTAAAATTTACATATATTACATAACATATTTATGTATATTGATGATGTATATGATTGATTTTTGTAGTTATTTTTGCATTTTATATATTCGAGTATTCATTGTGTGATGAAAAATAAAAAAAAACGCAAATGTATATGATTTATTAATTTTTTAATTAAATTTAAAAATATTGTAAACAATAATTGATTTTAGTTTGTAATAAAGTATACACATCTGTTGAAATTCTACACAGATAATAATTTCAGTATCCTATAGTTTTTACTTTATTAAATTTTTCAAAAACAAAAAGAAATATTTGTGTATAATAAACATTTTTCAACAAAAATTTAAAATTCAAATTGCATAGCTATTATATTAAAACATTAAGTATAAAATCATCCTGTGTAAAAATACAACTGATATATGTATATGCATATATTTTAATATAAGAAGACATATATATAAATTTTAGTGTAAATATAATAAATTAAAATCATGCATATTAATTAAAAAAAAAACAAAAAATTATAATGCAAAGAGATAAATAATACAATCAATATAAAAACAAAATAAATTATAATAATCATAATAGCAAATTAATTAATAATAGTGACGAATATTTAAAATTACCTTGGTGAAATTTTACTTCCATCTCCAGTACTATTATTATTTAATGAAGAATTAGCCTTATAGCCAGACTTTTGGATACGTTTTGATAAACGACTAACCCATAGGTTTTGTTCCTCAGTTGTAGATGCTAATAATAACATTTCTCTAGCACTATGAGGATCATGATGTAATTTACATGGAGCCAAGGGATCATTATTATCTACATGTTCTTTATGAATTTTATTGCGGCATCTAAAAAATTTATATAGAAAATATCGTTTATTACTATAACATATTATAAATTTTAAAATAATTATAAATGAAAGAAAAAATCCAAAAAAATTAATATTTTTGTCATGAAAGAAAAAAATAATTAATTATACCTTTTACATTCATAGGCCGCCGGCGGCTTAAACATATGCCCAAGGGATTTAGGGCAAACTTCACAAGCTGTTGGCATATGATAACTTATTTGAACAAATTCATGTCCTAAATAAAGATTCAAATTTTTATTAAATGTAAAATAAGAATAATATTTTTTCTTATATTCATACTTATTTAATAATATTACCTTTATGTATTACTGTTCCTGGCCTTTCATCTCCACCTCCTCTAAATGAGCTAATATCTAATTGATTTTGTTGTTCATCAGGTCTTCTGGCTTCGCCTTCACCAGCATAAAGTAACTGAAATATACGAGGAATTTCTTTGGCATCAGCACGAATAACATCACCCTGAGTTACCGAACGTACGTGAAATACTTTGCTATTAAAACAAAGAAAACAAACATTCCAGCATATATAATTTAATAAAAAAAATTGTTTTTTTTCTAACCTTAAATCTAAAATAAGCACGGGATCTATAGTATTTTGCTTATCAATTTCAGAATTATAAAAGATTATTCTTCGTGAGGAAACGATAACAAATTGCTTTTTCCAACCATGTCTTCGTATATTTTGTTTATTTGGCACACTTAACCATCCTTCGAATACTGAATCCTATTAGCAAAAATATATTTGATTATTATAATGAAGTTTTACAATAAAAGCATTAAAAAAAATTAAAACAAAAGAAAGTACTTGATTATCTTCAGGATCATTATCAGCAGAAGAGAGTGATGCTGTCTCATTTAATTTTGACTGAAGTTTTTCGATTTCTGTTGCTTTACAATCAATTTCCATTTGCAATTTCGTTTTTGACTGAAATATATTATTATAAAATTTTAATGTTAACTAATTCTACTTATTTATATTTTTGATTACATTGCTTTCTTCTATTAATTGGCTTTGTAAATCTTGGAATTTGTGCAAAAGTTGATTATATTTATCCCTTTCTTGGGTTAACTCTTGTTGAAGTCGTCTACTCTCCTTTTCCTTTTTCCTAAGATCTGCTGAAGAACGCACTTTGCCTTTCGGTTTACCTTAAAAATAAATCAAAATTATTATAGAAATTTTGAAAACGCTGCTAATCAATTAAACAAAAATAAAAATAAAGTAAAAAGTACCCATATCTGTATCCTTCCTATTCATAACTTCAGCTAATTTATTAACAGCTACTTGTTTAAGTAAACATTCGTTTTTGTATTTTTCTCTTAATTTTTCCAATTCTGTATCTTTATCCGTTAAATGCTGTGACATTTCTTCTTGCAATTTTTTCTTCTCATGTAATAGGTCTTCATATTCAGTTATTTTTTGATTTAATTTTTTGACTACCTCAGCCTCATTTTCTTTTAGAGCATTTAAAGCTGCTTCTTTTGCTGCAATTTCATTTCTGTGTTTAGTCATAGAATCTTTTAATTCTAATTCCTTAATAGTTTTTTCTTTTTCTAAATCAGCAACTGTTTCTTCTGCTATTGTTCTAGCTAAAGCCTCAGCATCAGCTCTAGCCACTGCCACTTGCATTTGATGCTTCAACGAAACGCGTTCATCTTCTAATTCTTGAATTGCACGCATTTTTTCACTATTTTCCTCACGAAGTTCGCTACTTTGAGTTTTATATAACCTAGAAAAATATTGTTCGGCCTCTAATTGATCCTGTAATTCTTTCATCTGTAATATATCAACGTTGTGAGCATTTTTTACTTTAACTATTTCATCCTCGTATCGACGTTTTGCTTCCCGCAGCTGATTTACTTCCTTATTCAACTGATTTTCTCGAGCTTTTAAATGTGCAACTTCAGAACTTTGAAGACTGTATTCAGACAATATTGTCGCTTTTTTGCTTTGCTCTTGCTCTAATTGACTTTGCAACGCCAACACTTTTTCTGTTTCTTGCCTACATTCACCCTCAAGCTTTTGCAATCTTTGTTGAATTTGACGATAATCAACAGAAAGCATAGATATTTGCCGTTCTTTTTCTTGTGAATTATGATCAGCCTTCATTCGAGCTGATTTTTCTTCATTCAGTTTTGTTTGAAGAGCTTTTACTTCTTGCATATTAGCTTCTTCTCGACTAAGGAGTCGAGATTTTTCAGTTTCTTGATGGGCTTTAACTTCTTGTTGATATCGTTGTTGTGCTGATTTTAATTCCAAATCCAAACCCGCATTTGCTTTTTCTAGTTCAGATATTTTTTCACCTAACGAACGATTATCGTTTATTGTTTGTTGTTCACGACTTAAACATTTCTCAAGATCTATATTTACTGTTTGTAATTTGTTTTCTAATTCTTTATGTAATTCTTTAAGTTGTTGTCGAGCATTTTTCTCTTGCATTAAGCGTGACTGGAGTTCTGTAATCTAGAAAAAGAAATATAATTTTTTTAAATAAATGGAATAAAAATAATATTTTCGAATTACCTCCTGTTGTAACGCATCTCTTTGTGCTTGCAAACCTGCAAGGACAGTTTGCAATTGATTGACTTTTTGTTCAGCTTCAGTCTTTGCCAAGCGTAATTCTCCTGCTTGTTTTTTAAGTTTTTGACTATTTTCAGTTTCTGAAATTAAATTTTCTTGCATTTCTGAAAGTTGCTTCTCCAACATATTGATTTTATCATTATGCTGCTGATTATTATTCATTTCTCTAGTACGTTTATTTTGTTCATCATCTAAATTCTTTTTAGTTTCAGCCAGCAACGACTCAGTTTTACGTCTCATATCCATTTCGTGTTCTGCTTTTCGTTGGGCTTCCTTGTAATTGTGTTTTAAAATTGCTAATTCTTTTTCATAATTACTACAAAGCATTTGAACCTCGGCTTCGCGTTTAGTAATTGTTTCGATTTGTAATCTTAAATTCCTATCTTGTTTTTCCAAATTTTCTACATTTAATTTTTCACGTTCTAATAAAGCTTCTAAACGCTTTATTTCACTTGAGTTTGAAGGTCTATGACGATGTATTGAATTTGCTGTTAATTTGGAGTCTACATTATCATTTGATAGTAATTGATAATCACTAGTGTACGTAAATCCCACAAAAGGTAAATGATTTCCGGCGAAAGTTTTAGGTACAGGAAAAACCTCTTCAGGTGTATCATCTTTTTCGATTTCCTCAAAATTTCTGGTGTCGTCATCACTTGCCAATTCGGGAACAACAGGGGGAACCGATTCTCTTAAGTTATCAAATGTCCAGGTATCATTTTGGAAAAAAGGATGGCATTTAATTTCTTCAATACCACTCTTGCCTAATCTATTTAAGCGATCTGTTAAAAATCCTCTAATAAGTGATTTAGCGTTTTCACTTATTTCAACATCAGATGGGAAATTCAATGAATTCTTATGATCCATAATTTTTCCATATGTTCCTACTAAACTATCAGCATAAAATGGAGTATCGCCTATTAACATTTCGTAAAGAAATATTCCAACTGACCACCAATCACATTCCCTTCCGTATTCATTTTCTCCACCTTGTGATTGTAAGACTTCTGGACTAATATAATCGGGTGTGCCAACAGCATTACTAGATTTAACTAATCCATCTGGACCCATTCGCATACAAGTACCGAAATCAGCTAATTTCAAATGCCCATATTTATCCAACAACATATTGTCAGGTTTGACATCTCTATGAACAAATCCCATATTATGAATAGTATCTAGTGCTAAAACAACTTCCATAGTATAAAAAATTGCCCATTTTTCTGGTATTTCATATACTGACATTAACCCTACAATATCACCTCCGGGCATATAATCCATAACCATATATAAATATTTATTGTCTTGGAATGCATAATGTAATTGAACTATCCATTCGGAGTTCGCGTGCGCCATAATATGTCGTTCTTCCCAAAAGAAAGCAGAATCTGGCCTTTTTATCATTTCAAATTTCGATAATCGCTTCATTGCATAGACTTGCTTTGTTGAACGATGTCTTACCAATTGAACTTCACCAAATGCTCCGCGTCCAATTAATTTAATAACATCGAAATCTTCTGGTTTCATGCGCAATTCAATAATTTCCCTAGCTAAAGTTTCATCTAAAAATAAAAATATTCAAATGAATTAATTGCATTTTACTTTAATAACATTCAAAATACTTACATCTGTTAGTGTAAGCTTCAATATTTTTCAATCTTTTAACAGATTCATGTTCACAATCTGCTATTAAAGCAGTTATAGTATCTAAAAGACAATCCACATTTGCAATACTAAAAGGGTCCCGCAATTGCTCCTCCAGCTTTTGCAGCCTGAAAGTTTCAGAAGCATAATTTCTTTTTAATAATAAAATAGTAACATATTTCATTCAATAATTTTTTTAATATATTAACGACAATATTTACACAAATATTTATTTATAAATTTAAACAATAATAATTCAACAAGTTTTAGTCATTAATTCATTTAAAATAAATATATGTATGTGTGTAAGTTTTTGCTATCTGACAAATTATTAAGATCAAACTTATGTACCAACCAAACTTAGTACTACCTGAAAAACTATCAATGTTACATATATTGTTTATTTAAAGATAAGAGACAATTTTTGATATAGATATGATTTTAAATGCTTTTTGTAGATAGGTAAAAAAATATTTTTTGAATTCTATCATCATCTCGTTATTTAGACTTGCATAAAATTTTACTATTTAACTCAAATTTACACAGGAAAGAAATCAGATTAGGTACGTTTACATTAGACAATGTGGTATGAATTATACACGAATTAGACTACAAAAAGAAAATTTGAAAGGAATAAAAATGAAGAATATGCAAAATAAAAACGACAGTTATTTTACCGAGAATTTTATATTATTACATGTTGTACCAAAAATTAGTTCAATAACATGATTCAATTATTTCTTTATAAATTTAGAAATGAATGTTTTTTAGCAAATAAACTAGTAAGAAATTACGAGTAGGTATACCTATACCTATAAGATATAGTTATGCCTATGAGTAGGTATTTTGGACAATATAATGTAATATCACATAAACATTTTAATAATGAAGATGAAGTTAAGATTGCAATAAGCAAACACCTTTGTTTTCATTTCTTAAATTCATTTATAACTTAAATTACCTTTTGCGATGATGATCATTTATAATTCCAGACATTATTGCAAAAATAAAATATTAAAAATTTGTTGTTTAAAAAACAATATGCAAAAAAAAATTTTTTGTTGTGATTTTTTTGATATGAGAAACCACACAGCCAAAAAACCAGGTAAAAAGAGATGATCTACAAATTCCACCTTCGTCTTCTTATGGTCGTTAACGTTTGTACCTGTCAAAATTGTTATTACATTTCTAATTTCATATTTTATTCGGAATTCCACTAAATTTTTTTTTATATTTTTATATTGTATTTTTATTTTAAATTAAATATTAAACAATCATCATAAATATTTCTAAATAAGTCTACTTGTAAGGTTTAAATAAAAATACTAAATTGATTTTGACAAAGACAAAAAAATCTTTTTTTTAATAACACTGTTTCTTCATAAATTTCTTAGTATATACCACATTTGCATATGTTTTAATAAATATATAAAATACACCGTAAATAAGATTTTAACATTGAATCAAAAAAATAAATTAAATGTTTTAAACTTATCAAAATAATATCATTTAAAATTTAAATTTTATATCCAAATGCTTTTTTTTGTCGCGGCCATCATCACTTCACTTCATCGAATTATTTCGAAATTTACTGCCACTTTTCTTTCAATGAACTTTCGAAAATTATTTTGACATTCAAGAAGTGATGCCGTTTAATAAAAAAAAGTTTATATAAATTTCTGAACGAAATCAAATTTGTAATCAAGAATAATAATTGCCAAGATTTTAATTTACTCCTTTAATTTTTATTCTGTGTTTGAATTTACCCAGCTTTTACACATACAAGTTACTTGCATGCAAGTTTGTATAATATTAATTGTCAATTAGTTTTTCGAAATGTCAAATTACTTGCTATTATGACGTAGGCGTTTAGCAAGTTAATTTTTGAAAATGTCTTTGAGAAGAAAACAACTAGCAATATATATAATTGTTTATAAATTTTAGAAACCATAAGTTTGCTAAGTTTAATTTTTTCAAAACAAAATTCAAAAATTTTAAATTAAAAAAAAAAAAAAATCAAAACAACAAATTTTTTTTTGTGAATTTCTCAATATGTCAAATTACTTGCTCAAATTACTGGCAGCAAAATTTTCTTGCAAGTTGAACTGCAAGTAAACAAGCAAGTAGAAATATTTCAATGTGTTAGTAAAATTTTTGTATGTATTGCAACTTTCTTGCAAGTAACTTGTACATGTAAATGCTGGGTTACATTGCAAATTAAATGCAAATAATAGTTTGAGAAGTTGAAGTTTACATGCATTCTTATAAAATACCACAAATAAATAATATGTACAATATGATATACGCAAATACGATTGTCATTATCTTAAATTCACTATAAATTACACTAATATCCAGTTACCCTTTATAATATTACTCTATCCTATCCTGAGCAAAAGTACTTTCTCTAGGGTTCTTTCGAGAAATTTTAATCTGAATGATTTATTTTTTGTTAGGTTGTTCTTGTGTGTGCTTTTTCGTGTAAGGATTATTAATTACTTTTTCCTTGCCTTGTGGGGGCAATATTTAAGAAAGTTTTTTTTTGTTTTGTATGTGAGCTCTGCAACTTTGTGTGCTTTCTATATGTTCCTCCTAACTCGTTCTTATAAATTTTACGAATTGTGATCTTTCCCCTATACAAATGGTGACACTTGTCTCTTGTTCGAATAATAGTTACTTTTTAAAAAACTTTAATTATGTTGTATTGGGTCATTTTGACAAAATGTTTAAAGGATATAGTGCTAAACAAGAGTTGTCTCATATATACACACATATACATACAAGACTAATTTTTATGTCATTTCTCAATATAATTTTTTAAAATAATAACGTACAATTCTTTTAAAATTTCAATAAAAAAACAGTAACAATAAAATAGTTCAAATTTTAGAATGCAAAAATGTAAAATATACGAGTGCTGCCCATGCGGCGAGTAGAAGAGATGATATTTTAACCCACAGACGCTTATAGGCTAGTATATTCCTCAAAATTTACTTGTCAAGTGTTATTAGAGTTTAAATTGTTTGTGTGTGTTCAGTGACTCATTACAAGTTAAAATGCGTTTCAAGTGTGTATTTTGGAAAAGCCAAAGAATTAAAAGTGACCCACGGATAAACGTAACTTTAACCTGGTATCCAAGAGGGTTAAGTAAAGATGACCTTTATATTTTGCAATATTTATAACAAAACATACAGCTTAGAAATTGTTATTTTATTAAAGTGGAAGTGAAGAGATTGTTGCTTTTGAATGTTGTGAAAAAGTAATAGGTAAAAAAAACAGGTACCTACAGAATAGAAAAAGTGTTATGAAAAATAATTAATGCTTGACTTAAAGTAAATCCAAGTCAAACAAAATTTATATTTAACTTTCAATTCGTCAAAAATTGAATAATAATATCAAATGAATTATCGAAAAAAATTTAAATGGATGAAATATCAAGTCAAATTTTTTGTTGTAGCAATCATTAAAGGCTACCAAACCTGTACGGACATACGTTATATATACATAATGTAAAAAGAGAATTGAAATTGTGTTACAGGAGTCAACTTGAAGTTAGATCTACATTTTCAATAATAACACAATATTACTTTTTTAACAATTAAAAAATATTTAATTAATAAAAGATATATGTATAGATATAGATAAAAATAAATAATTTTTGATTCCATAACTATAAAGCTGTCCAAATATATGTACATTAGTACTTACTCGTAAATTACACAATTTAGCAATTAGTATCCCTAAACTGTCGAAATAAATACTTTATTACAGGCATTTGAAAGTCATATTTTACAAAAAAAAAAATTAATTTTTTTATTTTAATCACAAATTGCTGGAACGTCTTCATCTTCAGTTTCTTCATCATATCCAATGTATCTATTTAGGCAAACAATCCTTGAATTTAAATTTTGAATTGGTCTTGAATTATTTAAAATTTTATTTAAAGTTCTTGATTGAAGAGTCCGAAACTCAGACAGCTAATTTGGATTACAGGATATTTTAATTGAAATATTAATATGTAAGAAATTCTACATACATACATATACACATATATTTCCATAATATAATATTTATATTAATGATATTACAATCTTTTTATACATGTATATATGTATGTATGTAATTGACATTTTATTGAAGCTTATTACCTGTTTTATGCTTATGGCCATTGGTTCAGGAAAAATAAACCAAGTTACTCCTTCACAACAAGGTGGTTCAGTCAATGATCCACCGTAGCTATAAAAATTTGTTTGAAAATTGTAACATAGCCATGATAAGGGAAATGATGGTATTTGAACCCATATTCCTGGTCCACGAATTTTTCGTAAATTCAAAATTATTGGATCTAAGCATGGATTATCATTTTTTGTTATCTTAATTAAAATGAAAAAAAAAAAAACATATTTTAATTTAATATGAACATCTGATGAAAATTTTTATAATATTTACTGCAAAAAAAAAACTTAATACTAGCACTCCTAAATCAGATGATTCACTATTATGCACCAAATTATCTTGAGACACGTGTGAAACCTATAAAAAAATGAATATTTTCATGTAAGCTTAATGAAAACAAATTAATTAATAAAACTTTATTTATGTTAACAAAAAAGGTTTTTAATGTTAAGTACCAGATAAATTAAACGGCACCTACTTGTAATTCAACAGGATATTTTTTATTATTAATTGAATGCTCTGATCCCTGATCATCTAAAATACTCCAACGAAAGCATAAATTCAAAAATTTGTAATTTTCAAGTAGATCAGCACCACTTATAGTTGGAACGTTACATGAAAAATTTGCTTTTAATTCAACTATAAAAACAACGAACACTTTAATAATTTAGGCACCTTAACAAGATTTTATAATTTTAATTTTTTTTTTATTATATTCGTACCTGTATACCCTGAATTTCGAATAAATATTTCTGTAGGTATTTCATCATAATAATTCCAAATTAACGGCTCATAAATTAACAGTAATGATGTCTCAACGCTAATTATATTTATAGGCGATTGAAAGTTTCCATTTGCTGAAGGATATTTGTGCTTCCATGAAATTGGACCTAATTTTAATCATTATTAAGTATACAAAAATTTCGAGAAGCGAAATGTATTTTGTTGATTCTAACTGTTTTATTTTTATTCTTACCATTTTTAAGAGTACAATCGTAATAATCAATTCCATTCCCTGTATTACACTCACTTAAATGCAATATACTAAAAAAGTTGAACAACATGAATGTTGCAATTATTATAGCAAGAATAACAATAATTGATCCTGGATTTTCAATGATAAAAGTATAAAAAATATCAAAAATCGAAAATAAACGACAAACTTCCATTTCAGTGCTATATTTATTAAAAAAATATTTTTAAAAATAAAAATGTATTTAAAATTTAACAATAGAAATAAAAATTAAAAAATTTTGACATTGTAAACACTTTGATAATCTTTGCTTTAATTCAAATTTTTTTTATAATTTTTAAATTTTAGCTATGAAATAACTTTGTAATTATGTAAATAATTTGGGGGCAAAAAGAAAAAAAACAAAATGGAATGAACAATTTGTTGATGTTTAATAAAGTTAAAGAAATAAATTTATGTAATAAGAAAGGACAATAGTTGAGGACATTCGTATTCGTATTTGTAAGCGGCGTTATTGTAGAGGCAGACTGTACACCAAATGTATTAGATATAGTAAATTTTAAATTTCAAACTTTAAATTATGGTCGGATTTAAAATCTAAGCAAGACTTAAAATCTAAATTTAAAGAAGTTTAAAGTTTCAAATTGCGAACTTATAAAGTTTTAAATTGCGAACTTAAGGAAATAAACAAATAATTTCTTAACTATAAAAAATTTGAATTTTAGGGTTTAAAGTTGTAGAATTTAAAATTTTCTAGTTCGTTGCTTAAGTCAAAGTAGTTTTAAAACTCAATTTAAAATCAAAAAGTTTGTGGTGTAAACCAAAGGTTAAATTCAATTTTACATTTTTCTGAAGTTAAAATGGGTCTGAAGTTAATTTAAAAGGTATAACTCTAAAATAAAATAATAAAAACTGTAAATTAAATTTATTATACACAACATATATATGTACGAAAACAACTATCAGTTTTTGATTGTTTCGACTTTCGATTAAAATACTGTTAAAAGCTACAGTTCTAGTTTCATGGAGTGCATTTTATGCATTACATGCCTTCGTAAATAGTAGCTTTTCTTTGAAAAATTGTTTAATCAATAATAATTTTAAAAAGCCATACATTATATTGTTATACAATTATCAATTACAAGCAATTACAATTACAAGAATATTGTTATACAATTTAAACTTTAACGTTACAACATTAGTTTTATATTTTAATAAAAAATTTATAAACAATAATTTTTATTTCTATTGTATAAATATTATATTTTAAAGTCAGTGTCAGAAATTTGCTTGTTCTCATTCGAAATGTGGATATTTAGAAAAATGCTAAACTACCATGAGTTGACCACGTATCCAATAACGAGTTTCTGCGTAGAGTTGCATCAAACCGGCAGCTACTGACAAATATTAAGCGCAGAAAAATAGAATATTTTGGTCATATAATGCAGGGCAGGATATATGAACTTCTACAACTCATAGTGGACGGGTATATTAAATATAGATGACTTGAAGCAATATACTGAGTAGAATACAACAACATGGAAACCAGCGTATTATGAAAACCGACATATGACCGCTAACATCCAGTAAGGGATAGGCGATTAATGCTGTTATAGATTTTATGCTTGTTACGTAATAAGTTTCTGAATAACTTTCAAATATGTAATAAATATTATGTAATAACTTTTAATAAACATTGATATATTGTAAGTTCCATAGTTTCTATAATTTGAAATGCAAATAATTCAAAATTCTAATATTTAATAAAATTAATTAAACTTCTACAACAATACATATACGTATCAAGTTCTTCACATCTTGTTCCAAGAAATATTGCAATGAAATTTTTTTAAATGAACTTTATTGCATATAAAATTAATAATGGAATTGCAATATTGAAAATAATAAGGAGTTTCCGAATGATAAAAATAATTTTGCATTTGGGTATAATTGACATTTTAACGTGCTACTAATTAGATGCAAATAAAATATAAAGGACCCTTATATTATGAATTTTACTAATACAACATTATAGTTGCGGAATCAATAAGAATATTGTGTGTTTCAATGGATTGTATGTAGCAATCAATGTAAACAAAAAACAAATACTTAGTAATCATGTGAATTACAGTATAAAGCAATGTAGAGAACATTTCGTCGGCAATTTCTTCATGCCTCTGTAGCTCAGTTGGTAGAGCGTCCGCCTAGAAAGCGGTAGGTCACTGGTTCGAGTCCAGTTCGAGGAGAAAAATTTTTTTAATGAATAATTTTTCTGCCTTTAACTCGTTCCTTTGATTACGTCATCCATCTGTTCTGCAGTTGCATGAAGAAATTTCCATTAAGATAAAATAAAGGACCCTATCTAATGTATAATTCTATAAAATTATTGGAGCCAGAGTGCGTGTATGGTATGATGTTATTGTTCAAGTAGAAATCAATTATAATATAAAATAGAATAAGGAAATTATAAAATTTACAGAAACTTATTCTTATTAAGATTTTCAATTTCATTTGAAAATCATTGAATTATTCAATTTGTAAATTAAACAACAGAAATCGTTTCACATACTTCGTCAAGAAACATTGTACCGCAATCGATTCCAAAATAGGTTTTACAAAAAGCATTGCAAGATCAGATAAATTTTTCCTTACATTCGTCGTATTAATTATTTGACTACAAGTATAATATACTACAGAATGAATCTACATTAAATAATAATTCAATATTTTTTATCAACTAAATTTTAATAGAATCGGTTACCCTAATGATAAAATTATTTATGCACTCAATATTATACTTATATGTATATGTACATATATATAAATTGTTATAGGTAATAATAACTTTACTATTAAATGAAGGAAATCTAAATAGAAAGCATGCACAAATCCAATAAAATAAATCAATCAGAAAAACACTATATAGACGTAAAGTATATAGTCCTATAATAAGAGTATGTAAACATTTTTTTCTTTCCCTTGACTTTGATATATTATTGATTTTTATATCATGATTATACATAGTTGAAATTTTTTTTTACTTTTATTTTTATTGCATTTAAGAAGATGCACTATTGTAAATTGGTTATTTTCATTAATATATATATGAGTACATATTATATAAAGTGTATAAAACATGTAATATCAACTCTAGATATTTTCATCTATATAAATGGAAGGCATTCAATAATTGTTTCATGTAGTTCGGCATACTAATTTATTTTTTTAATTATTGAATATTGATTGTATAATTAGAATGAAGGAAATGTGTGAAACGCTCAAAAGTTTTATAATTACTTTCTTTCGAATTTGAATTTTTTTGTAGGATTATTACGGTAAAACAGACTGATAGAGTGAAAAGATAGAAAAAAATTGAATCATTGTAAATTTTCGATTATTTTTCATTTTCAAAAGTATTTCAATTAAAGGATCTTCTATTTCTCTTGAAGCAAAAGTAATACTTAATTCCTGTATTTAACGAGACTAAAACACTACTAAGAATAATTCTCAATTTGACTATACATACATACATACATACATAGTTGTATACAGCTCTATTAAAAATTTCACTCTCAGAATTCTACGAATAATGAGTTTACCTACGACGTAAACTTTTAAATGATCGATAACAAAATTTGCTTTCGGTTGGCAAAATATATGGATTCATTTCTTTCCATTGTAACTGTATTAGAGTAACTCAAGTTCAAACAAAAATATGTATTAAAAATTTGAAAATTTATTACGATCATTCTCTGATTACTCCTTTACGAATATTCGGAGCAGAATTTTAATATGTTATTTGTAATTTTCCAAATTTCAGAGCTACGAACGAAATTCGTATGAATAAATAATTAGTTTTTAAAAGTTCGTTTGCAAAAGTTAAATGTGCTTATTTGAGTAGTAAAATTCTATATGTCTATGTCCCTCCTCCCTTTAAGCCATATAGCACTCTAAGTAGTATAACACTGCACCAACTACACCAACCTGTACATGTAGGTCTATAATTGACATTGCCTTTTATTTTTTATTTATTTTTATTTTAACGTAAACTACAAATAACACAAGTATAAGTAAAATTAAATACACTAAGTCCTCGAGATACGACATCTTCTAATACGACATGATATAAATTTGGATCATTTTTATTCGGCTTACGACATTGTTCCTAATACGACATTGAAAATTTAAAAAAAAAATTGTTTTTTTGACAGATTTTACTGTTTTTTGAATAAAAATCTATACCGAATTTAGTTATAAGACGAGACTAAAGCACATACTTCAACAATGAACTCTTTCTAGTTAAAAATTCTAGTTAGTAGTTAAGAATACGAATTGAAGTGATAAAATATCAACTTATTTAGATTTTATTTTATTTATTTTTGTTACATCATTGAATTTTTGTGGTTTTGTTATTATATTTTGTTGTTTTTTTCAAACTTTGTTACCTTTTTTAAAAAAAAAGATCAATTATTTTATAAAACAGTTTGTCTATTTTCACTTTTTGTTTCCATACATTTTTTTCCCTCCTCAAATGACAATTCGAGTTACGACATAAATTTCTGGAACCAAAAATGTCGTATCTCGAGGACTTAGTGTATTATATTTAATAGCATCTGATAACATTAATAAATTAACAATTGCAAAAAAAATTTTATTGGAAATTTAATTTTAAATGTTATTTTTATTTACCTAAAACATTTTTTATATTATTTATTTACGTTTTGTTGATTCATAAATAAATATTTGTATACTTTATGTTAGTACTAACGTGGATTAATCAAATTAATTGCCGCATATTTAGTATTACGTCTAAGTAAGCTTCATGTCAATTGTTGCCAACCTATTTTATTAGATTTACGACTCACGACTGAAAAAGGTTACCCACACCTAGTCTATCTTTCTATATTAGAACTTTTTATAAACGATCACTAAGAATTTTCGTATTTTATCATTTTTTTTGTTTTATCTCCAAAATCCATGTAATTTGTCTTAATTTTTATTAATTAACAAAATTTACTATAATTTATAAAGAGATTTTATATATCTATGTATATGTGTATATAGTTATACTAAGCTGTATGTCTTTAAGTAAAAAAATTTTAAATCTACAATAATAATGCGTAGCCACCATAAAATAAAACCATACGTCCTTTTAGGTTGATTGCTTTTCAAAATTATTTTCAACGTTTTGTTTTCTCTTATGTATTTCAAAAAAAAAACATTAAAAAAAACAAAAAAGAATTAAAATTAAATAAAGTAAGACTTTAGAATAGTTCGTCTGCCTGCCGCATATTAGAAAGCATTAATAGAAAGTTTTGTAAAAGGTTATAAATAATTTCTCGAAATTGTTCACTTTTTAAATTTTTAATTTACAAAATTAAATAAGATTTATAAAACTTATGCGAATAATTAATTATTCATTAATCGAATAAAATTGAAAATATATTTACTAATATCATTTTGTATATTTATGGAACTTATGGTGATACACAGAAGGCAACTTTTTGTAATTACACAACGTACTACATTTTTTGAGGAGCGCTAGTGAGTATTAAGTTTTTTAATTTAAAATAGTGCCACTCAAAAAAAGTGATCTATTGTGTAATTATATAAATTGTCTTTTCTTATCACTTTATAAACTATATTGACAATGCTAATATCCAAGTTATTGATTTATATGTATTGTATGTGTATCTTTTACATATTGCATTTAAGATTGAATATGACGCAAATTATTTTTTTATAATTTATTCATTAATTTGTTATTATTATGCAATAATCATGAATTATGTGTAGTAAAATTAACAAGTGCTTTTCTATTTACCCTACCTGAAATGTAATTAACCTGCAATATTTGGGAATAGTTTGCAAATGGAACGTATAATTCTTTACACAATTGAATTCAAATTTGAATAGTCTTTTTACTGATTTTTATTTTCCAGATATTAAAAATTTGAATTGATCTACCGCAATATATGTAAACTTGAGTATTATACATTTAAAGTGTTATACGTTATACGAAATTGTAACTCAAAACAGAAAGTTGTTATTCAAATTATATTCGACAATTGAAAAATCTCACGAGATCGAAATTGAATTTTCGAATATTCAAAATTAAGTTTTAGGAAACCTTAAAATTGTAATTAATGAATTTTTTATATAGCAAAATATTTATTACTGCAATTTTGAAGACATATGCATTGTTTTTGATAAAAAATTTATACCTAATTTTTTTCTTATGCAACTTTCAAAACAAAAATTCAAAATATAGATAACTAAAATAGTGGAAAAACTGAAAAAAAAAATATAAATAGCTTAGAAAGAATCATGTAACTGATACAAAATAATTTCATATATTCATTTTCTCTTATCTTAATTGCTCTATATAAAATAATATTTAATTTAAAGTAAATTTAACATTCATATGCAATATAATTTAAATAGACCTTCTGTTTTATATGCATATAATAAATCACAATTTAAAATTAAAATTTATATTATAATATATAAAGAAAGCTGTAAAACAAAATATTTTATGTTAACTGCTATTACGAGTATAATTTTAACATTTGATTATATAATCATATACATACTCGTATATATAAAAAAAAAGCACAAAATATCGTAGAATAGTAAAAAAATTAATTATTATTACTTTATTTAATTGTAAGTATATTAAACTTCCATAGTCAGTTAGTCAGAATAATATTTTTTTTAGGAATCAGTAGTTTAGTAGTATTCAAGCTATCGATGAGACTGATTGTCATTTTTTTTTTGTTTTTTTTTTCAAATAAAAGTTACACGCAAACGCGCTATTCAAACACAATAAAAAAACATTGGATTTGTTTTTTTTTTTATTATTCAAGAAATTGGTCACATTCAGAGTGAAAAACAAGCAAAAAAACGGAAAAAACACTTGAATAGTTTGTTAATTATTGCACATGTTGTATTTTGTTGAATTTTATATAAACACATACATACCTACAACAATTTTAGGGTAGTAAAATTTAATTAAATACAAAAATAATTTATTAATAGATTTTGAATACAATAGTGAGACCTTATAAATAAAAAACAAAAAAAAAAAAAAACAGTGCTCCATTCACAAAAAATAATGGAATAAAAGAAGAATAAGTAAACAAAAACTGTAATATTTAATTTCAAATTATTTTGAAATTATTTTTTATAAATATTTTATGAGAAAGTTCTTTTGACAAGTACTGTATAATTAAATTTTTATAATATACTTATTTTTATTTTGTGTTTAACTTCTTGAATAGTGAATTCAAAATATTACTTAAAAATGTTATGTTTGTAAGAGAATAAGGAAAATTACCATAATTTACAATATTGTTTTATTACATACAATTTAAATAAACAAAAATAAATAAAAAAATAACAATTATTAAAGTGCTTGTAATTCATTAGGTAACTAGTACCCTATAATTGTATTATTAAACAAATTTCTTAAAATTGTAGAGAAAAAAAAATATTTTTTAATTTTTTATAAGTCAAAAATTAGAAAATAGTATTTGTATACTTAATAAATAATAAAACAACAAAAAAAATTTATATATTAATAATAATGGCAGTTCAATCACCTATTGAAATATCAAATCGTGAAATTGAACATAAAGATGATATTGAACCATTAGAATATCATGGTTATTGGGAACCAATTGGTACAGCATTATTAGAAAATACTGGTTTAACAGTATTAATAACATTTCGTGGTAAAAAATTTCAACCATATATAATGGGTGGTATATTAAATAATAATGAAAAATATATATTTGAACAATTACATTTTCATTGGGCTGATCATGATGAATCCGGTTGTGAACATACATTAGAAGGTATAAAATATTCAATGGAAGCACATGTTGTACATTATAATTCAAAATATGATAATTTTGATATTGCAAAAAATAAAAATGATGGTTTATTAGTTGTTGCATTTTTTATACAAGCATGTGGTGATAAAGAATGTAAAGAATTTCGTAAAATAACAGCTGGTATTGATAGAGTACAAAAAGTTTATACAAGGACTTCATTAGATCCAGGTATTTTTTTTTTATAATTCTGTTTGTTTAATATAAAATTAATTTTTTTTTTTGATAAAGCTATATGGTTCCAAGGTGTTAATTCCAAACTGTTTTTTTTTAACACTTGTACGATATTCTTAAATTTAAGATGCTGAATTAAATATGGCAACACACTGTCATTTGACTAGAGTTCAATGAGATTTTGTGAAATTTTTAAGTACTAAGAGAAAAAGTCTATTTTAAATTTTAGGTCTAATCTGTATTTCAATCATTATTCTAATTTAGACTCTAGCATTTTCTTTTGAATAAATTTTTTGAATCGTTTGCATAATATCCTAATTTTTTTATTGCTGTGCTATTATATTAAATTTTAAAATTATTAATAATGCATTCTCTTTACTTAAAAAATTCAATTACAACTGGTAATACTATATTAGTACACAATTCAGCTTATGAGCTGTAATTGTTGAATTATTTATACTAATGCAATTTTACTATACATTTTTAAAATTTAAAACGTAATGTTTATTATTAAAATAATTTAATATTAAATTGTTTCTAATGTTAATTTTATTTTTTTTATTTTGTTTTAGATTGCCTCTCTTGGATTGGTTTACAAGAATTAAGTAAACATTATTATACATATAAGGGATCATTAACTACAGCACCATATTTTGAAAGTGTTACATGGATAATTTATCGTACACCAATCTATGTTTCTAAAGGACAAGTAAATTTCTATGAAATACTATAATACTAGTACTAGATGTACATACATGTATTAAAATTTCTGTTAATGGTTTATTTATTAAGCAATTTTTTTATTTTAAATATTTAATAAAATAAATTGTATCCCTGAGATCGGAATTATAATAATACTGTAATAATGCAAAGTTCAGCATATAAAATATCAAGTCCTGAATTGTGTATCGATACGGGTATTATTACAATTCCGATATCAGGGTACATAATACATATATTAGTTTAAATTTTCAAAAATATAGCGTAGCTTGAAAATTGCAGTGATATTGTATTAACTTACAATTTAGCTTATAGAGCTATAATTCCTGAATAGTGTGTTAATGCAGTATTATTGTAATTTTGAAATCAGGAATTTATATATAGGGATTTTAATAAAACCTGGCCAATGAATTTTCTGATATGTACATACATATATGTAAATATTTCTTTTACAAAATTTAAAGATTTCAAAGAATTTTGAAGTTAAAATATAAGAGCATGCTTTGTGTGTATTCCGCTTAAATAATAAGTACATACATATATGCATGCAAAATATATAAGTATGTATATTGATAATAATTCCGTTAAGAATGCTTTAATTAAAGCTTATTCTTTGATTTTATATAAGTATTAAATTATACATATATATACATATTTGTAATAATAATAGAATATTTATTTATATTTTTAGGTTGCAAGTTTTCGCAATTTACAATCATGTCCAAGAGATGAGAATAAACGTATTGTAAACAACTATCGTGAAATACAAAAGCCAACAAAACAACCGGAAGTAATTTTTGCAAGAAATATTGTAAAAAAATCGAAATTATAATCTATTAATATAAAATATTAACACAAATTTTTTCTAAATAAATTTTAAAGATTCTGTGATAAAGACTTAAATTTCATTTATTAAATTCCGTATATGTAAAACTATCTGGACCAAATGATTCAATTGCTTAATAAAGAACTTGAACAGGGAATCAAAAATACAATATTATAAAATTAGCAATATTTCCTGAATTTAGCTCACAAGTCGAATGCTTAAGGGTTTATGTGTTAGTACCATTATCTTTATGTAGTACATATGAATGTCATAGAATAAATAAATAATAAAATATTGTGGGATCTTATGCACTATACCTATTTATGTACATTCATTTAATTTAAAAAAATTAAACAAAAGTTTCTTAAATTTTCAATCAAAAATAAAAACAAACTAAATTGTTTATTTTTTATGTGTAAATATCAAATTTGAAATTACATATGTACATACATATATTTAAACCAAATTATCCGTAAATTCAGTTTTTGTTTAAACAATTCACACCAATTCGCACAAAATGAGCAAAAAAGATGAAATCAGTATTGTAAAAGACATTTTTTTAAAAAATTTAAATAAATTCGATAAAGCAAGAATTTTGGATCAAAATATATTAAGTCCAACGGATCTTAATTATGAAGTAGCAGATAAAATAGTACTTCCAGCTCTTAAATTTTCAAACTATTTTAGAGAACCGAAAAGTTTTTTTTTCAAAAATACTGGAAAGATAGGTAAAAAGCGGATTATCGATATTAAATTAGTTTGTTAGTTGGAGTGGTTAGTGTATTTAGGCTGTCCTTGTGCTTAGTAAGCTCAGCATTGCCTAAGAACCTGTTATAGCACAATTTCTTCAGAACCATTTAATTTTTAGAAAAATTTTTCTATTTCTCTAATATCATTATGAGTATATGTAGGTGGTGCAGCTGATTATGTCCATACATAAATTGCACATTTATCTTTTAGTGGTTAACAATAATTTTAATGACGCAGTTGCTTTCAAAGCAGGTCTAGGTTTTGGTTAAAATTAAATTTATAAATAATAAATAAAAAATAGTTTAGAAAAAATTGCAAGTTAAAATAACTTGCGGCTGCGAAAAACAATGTGTACGTAGTATACTTTTGGTTGTTTTTTTTCTCTAAAGCTTTCGTCTATCTTGTTTACTTTCCGCGTATAATTCTTTGAGTTTTCCAATAAATATCGGAATGTTTTTTGCAGCTGTATTAAGCGGAAAGTGGAATGCAAATCAACGTCCATATCTAACAGGCGGACCTTTAAATGGAAATTATACTCTTTCAAGGATTGTTTTTTATTGGGGTAAAAATTTTAAATACGGCAGTTTTCACACAATTGAAAATATTAGAAAAGCTCTAGAAATTCAAGTTATTTATATAAAAAGAAAATACGTAAATGTGGAGGAAGCAGCAAAATATGATGATGGTATTGTAATTATATCATATATTTTTGAAATGCGTTTCCAAATGAATTTATCTCTGGAGCCAATTTTGATTGCAATGGATGAAATACGCAAGAGTAATTGTGGTATACATATTAATGTATTTAAACTTGATAAAATGCTACCACCTTTTAAAAATGATTACTTTTTATATAATAGTAATCATAAACTTCAGACTGGTGAAAGTTTTAAAAATGTTACTTGGATAGTACCACGTGAAACATTTTGTGTGTCATTTTACCAATTAAAAAGATTTTCTGCTTCATTAACAAACGAATTACTTCCAGTTAAGAAAACATTTTTATATTTGCCGAACTGTTTGTTAAAACCAAGCCTTTTTTTGGTGAATTCCTCTAAAGGAGAGGCACAAAAAACATGTTTACCTATGCCGTTTTACAAAGATGTGGTAAATATGCATATAACAATTACATAAAATATATAATATAGATTTATTTTATTTTTCAAAATTTTGTTTATTATTTAGTTACAAAATTTCAATATTATCACGAAGAAGAAAAATTAACTTACAGAAAATGTTAAATCTAAGTTACATAATCAGAATTAAAATCTATACGTACTCAATTTTAATTTTATTCCATTATCAGAATTTAAAAATAATATAATTAAATTTATAGTGCCATTTTTCTACCTTCAATCGATATTTCCACTGCTCGTCTTGTTTGTTTCAATCTTTTTGCATCCATAAATTTCTTCAAATGTTTCTCATAGCGGTTCATTTTCTTTTTTGAAATCTTAAAAATTTAAAACAAATTTTTTCTTTACATTTCTAAATTGATATTGTATATAATAAACTCACTCTACTCATATCAACATCTACTGTAGATTTTGGTCTTACAACATATTCTTTATTTGATGGCATTGGAACTCTTGCACGCGCTACCCATCCTTTGTCACCTGGTCTTAATGCTTTTTCTTCAGTTGTTGAAATTGCTGAATGTATATCACGTTTCGTAGATTTAGATGTACTTGGTTCAGGACTTAATTTACGTTTTTTGCTAACTTGTTGTTCTAAATCTCTTTGAACTCTTTCTTCACGTGACATTGCTTTAAAATCAGTGCTTAAATTGAAAATTGGTCTGGCCCATTCGGATATTAAACGACCAGCTCTTTCCCGATTTTGTTTGGTTTCTCTAGGATGTTTGTATAAATACATAACTGCTTTGCCTATGCCTGATTGTTTTAAATAACTTTTATCTATTGTGGGAAACTAAAAGTATTGTAAAATGATTATATATTTTTTGTTTAATTAAAAAAAATTTGTTATTGATTTTGTTAGCTCTTACATCTGAAAGGAGTCTTAATATACTTTCTCTTATTTGTAAACAGGGTAAACTTTTATTTGGTAATGGCGCTAACCAATCAGTTAAAACATTAAGAATATTATGCTCTAAAAACGCTAATTGTAAATCCTTCTTGATCAATTGCGACATAACTTGTTTCAACATAGAAATTTTACGTATTGCAGGTTTGTTTTCCATATTAAGTGTACGATCATCTTCTGCTGCAGCCTTCATATTTTGAATTAATTGATCAATTATGTCATCTAGCAAATACGAATATAAAATGAAGTGTTGAAATTAATATACAAAATTTTTTAGTTTACCATTATCATTTATTAAATCAATATCCCGTCTTTTGCGACGCTTCGACTTTTCCTCTTTTTTTCGTAATAACATAGCATCAAAGTCCGAAATAAAATTATCAACGCTAAAAACATTATTTTGGTTTTAAAATCAAGAGTGTTATATACGTATTAAATGAATTAATCTTACTCATTTGAAATGGGAATATTTTCGTCATCAGAACTGTCAACAACGGTATTATTTTCTTTCGTTGTTTCGCCCTTATTCTCTGAATTTTCAGCATTTTCTCCTGGTTCATTTTCGTCTTCGTTATCTGTGTCTGTAATTTTTGGCCGTTTTCGTTGTTCTTTCGATTCGTTTTCTTCATCTAAATTATAAGTTTGAATTTAATTATTGAATTAGGCATGTAGTTTCAAAGCTAAGGGTATTTAAGCAAACAAATTTATACCTTCTGAGTCGCTAAAAACAACTCTCTTTTTCTTTTTTACCGGAGAGTCACTTGCTGATCCACTTCGACTTCTGCTAGATCTTGAACGGCTTCGACTTTTTCTAGATCGTGTTTTACTTGCACTACGTGAACGACTAGAATCCTTACCTCTTGATCTACTTCTACTTCTTGAATCAGCCCCACTTCTGCTTCTGGATCTGCTACGACTTATACTTCTGCTGCGCCGAGAGCCACTTCGGCTTCGTCGCGATCCACTACGACTCCTGGACACACTTTTACTTCTTTTAGACCTGCTCCTGCTTCTACTATCACGAGAGCTGCTTCTGCTATGCCTGGATCTGCTTCTGCTACGTGCTGAAGCGCTGCGGCTACGTGCGCTACCACTTCGACTGCGCCTGGAACCACTACGAGTTCTTCTTGACCCACTTCTGCTACGTGCCGAGCCACTTCTACTACGAGCTGAGCCATTTCTACTTCGTGGCGACCCGCTACGACTGTGTTGGGATCGGCTGCGGCTGCGTGGGGAACCACTTCTACTACGTCTAGATCCACTACGGCTTTTTCTAGAACCAGACTTACTTCTTCTAGAACCACTTCTACTACTCCTGGAATCGCTTCTACTATGCCTAGATCCACTTCGACTTTTCCTAGAACCAGACTTACTTCTTTTAGATGGACTTATACTTTTTCTGGAACCACTTTTACTACGATTTGAAGGACTCCTGCTCCGTCTCGAATGACTTCTACTTTTTCTAGAATGACTTATACTAACTTCTGAACCACTTCTGCTTCTCCGAGAACCACTTCTGCTTTTCCGAGAACCACTTCTGCTTTTCCTTGAAGCGCTACTTCTATGTTTTGAAGCACTTCTGCTGCGGCCTGAGCCACTTCCACTCCGTCTCACGCTTTCTTTCGAACCACTTCGACTTTGTTTAGAAATACTTACACTTTGCCTAGAACCGCTCCTGCTTCTTTTAGATCTACTCAAACTTCTTCTGGAACGACTTTTACTACGCCTAGAATTACTTCGGCTTTCTCTTGAGCCGCTGTGGCTTCGTCTGGAGCCACTTCTACTATTTCTAGAACCACTTCTGCTTTTCTCTCGTGAAGGGTCGGCAATATGTTGGGCAGAATCTAGTTCGCTTCTTTTACTAGATCTACTTCGGTCACTCCTTTCTGAGCCGCTGCGACTTTTTCTTGAAATGTTTTGACTATGTTTAGAACCACTTCTGCTTCTTCTTGATCCACTTCGCTTGGAACCACTTTCACTAATGGGAGAATGGCTTCCGCTTTCTCTTGACTCACTTCTATTTTGACTTCTGGACTTTACAGAATCTTTTGAACCACTACGACTCCGACTTGATCTTCCATTGTTTTCTTTAGAATTAGATCGGGTTTCAATTTTACCGTTTCCATTTACTTGTTCATGATCACTTTTTGATTTACTACGACTTCTACTTCTAGAATCAAATGAATCACGACTTCCACTTCTTGATCGACTCTTCCGAGTAGTTTCACCTTGACTGCAAGAACGGGAGCGACTGCGACTTTTCGATTTCGATTTTATTCCTTTGCTAGAGTCTACTTGAGCATCAGAATTTTCAGATTGAGCTGATTCAGGCCTTACTTGATGCTCATATTCACCTGAAAATCGATTATTAATAAATTATATTATAACGTTTCATAACCTACCATTTTGTTCATCCATATTAAGTGAGCATAAAACTTTAATTTCTAATTTTATTGCAACTTCAACAACTTCAAAAATTCCTTAGTTTTATAAGCTCTATTAATAATATTATTTGATATATACTGAAGCAAACCCTTATTTAATTAAAAAAACCAAGCAATAAAACTTTTTTTGGATTTTGTCTTTAGAAGTAGGAAGCGTTTATAAAATGTCAGATTGACGTTTGATCTTTTTATATTTAAAGTTTGACATTCAGTAACAGTCAGAGATTGGTCATTTTTAAAACAAAAAGTCCTTGAAGTTTTCAAATATTCTTTTTTTCGATCGTTGCTTTAAAACATTTCTGTTTTAAACGCCTGTTATAGTTATCAGAAATATTATCATGTAAAAGTTTTTCAATTTTATGTCGATATTAAGCGTTAGTTATTGCTATTAGATAGATACGATTATCTTATTTGTTATTTTATACACATATAGCACATTTTAAATTATTAATTTTCAATGTTATTTGGTACTACTTGAGCATCTGGTACTACTTGAGCATAAAAGTGCTGAAAGCTGATGCAACTTATGGTCATATAATATAACTAGTTTTAGCAAAAAACTGACGTCCATATTTCAATTGATTCTAAATTTTCGTATGAATTGATCTGATACCTATAAAAGATATTTTTCCTGAAACATATTCAAATAAACTAATAAGAATGTTCCAGTTTTACGAAATACAATTATAAACACTACATATATTATCAACTTACATACAAAATTTTAAGTTCAAAATTTCTCGTCCAAAGTTTCTAATAATTTTGTCTAATTATTGTCTAATAATTTTGTTTCATTGTTATATAAATATTAAGGATATACTTTTACTAATAAAAGGAATGTTTTTATTTGGCTAACAAGTCTTCCGTTGTTCAAAGTACAAAAATAATTTTAAATTAGTTGTTGCATTTCGGTTAAGGTACCTTAAAATTTTGCTTGTGAACTTATAAATATACATGTCATTTACTTGTCATATACTTGCCAATGAAAAATTTAATAGAAAAGCTTTCTGTGTAAATATATTTCATTCTCAATTCAAAATATATTTCATTCAAAAAAGTACCAAAAAGAAGAGTACATATATAAATTTAAATGAAAGTTCATTCAAAATAAACAACAAAATTTTAACGCAAATGTATAAAAAACTTTTAAAATTCAAAAATGAGAGAGAAAGAGAATGAAAATTTTTTGACATTTACAAAATTTTTGATATTCGAAAGAGCTCGTTGATAGATCTAATATTTGTCGGGTTTGTTTTGATAGTATTGTAAACATACTACATAATGACAGTTTAAGTCAAAATGCAAATACTGAACAGATCTAAAGATTGAGAATTTATTTTAAAGGAGATTTTTACATTGGCTTTTAATTTTGAAAAACAAGTACATAGAACTAAAGTTTCGTAGGGGTGTCGTTATATGATTTAAATAGTTTGGAATATATTTAATTACAATAAATAATAAAGTAAAATATTTTAGTAGTTTGTAAAGAAAAAAAATTATTAAATTTTAAAAATGGGCACTAGATTTTTGCCAGCTGGAATGGAGGATGAAGAAGATGACGTAAAAATTATCTTAGATTTGTTTAAAGCAAATGTTTTATTTTCTTATTTTAGGATATTTACGATTTTTATTGCCCTGGCGCTAATGCTTTAACTAAGACATTGCAAAACATGTGTGTGACTGTAGTTCCAGGTAATAAAATATGATGATTACCAAAATAATATACTGGTGGAATTTAATTTTAATCCATATATTATTGCATATATATACATATATAATATGTATATAATGTTAAATTTTGTATATCATATATCGGGTAGGTGAATACCTACCTAGCTGAATATGACAAAATGAAACTATATACATTTATGATTTAAACTAAATATGAAAAAAAAATAAACAATCTGCAATTAGAAATTTTGCGGAAATGGGTCTCTTATATTTTTTAAATCAAATATTTTTTTAAATTATTTAAATTATTGCTTTAGTGCTATTAAAAATTTTACACATAAAAGCAAAAAACTAGAATTGAACATAAATTTTATTTTTTATATTAAATTTAAATAATTAAAATTCTTTTTCATTTTGATTTAGATTTAACCAAAGGAGCTGATTTAAATGACAAAGGTAATCGGTATCTTTTGATTAATAAACATTTTCTGATACTCAATTATTTTAGATTTTGATGCAAGCTTGTGTGAGGAAATTAATAATTGGTTTGAAACATTTAAGAAGCAATGGGCCTTATGTATGAAATGAAATTTGAATAAGTATTTACATACTATTAAAATATTTACTTTTGTAAAATATTTAGATAAGAAAACACCCGCCATTAAACAAGCTCTTGAAGATTTATTCATCTTAAATGAAAATCCTCTATTATTGGCTTTAAAGATTTTTGCAAATTCCCCTGGATGTAACAATTTGAAAACAAAAAATAATTTAGCTTATTTTGGTAAGATAATCTGATTTAAATATAAGCTCTAGTTCTAGTCTGGTTGTAACGGTGTGTTCAGTTTTAGTTACAGTTTGTAATTTAAAAAAAATGAAACCACACATATCTGAAAAATGTACTGACAATATGAAAATGGTGGCTTTTAATTTTATCAAAACTCAAGGCATCCCAATTTTATATAAGGCTGTGAGGGATGCTTATGAATTAACAAAGGCCAAGGAATTATTTGTGGAAAAAATTAGAGAGCTAGTGAAAAATCGTTATTATAAAGACGTGAGTATTTTGCAATAAACTTAAAGTGCTTACTATAAAAGTATATCTATGTACGTATTTGAATTGATTGTAATTTCGCTTTAAGGCTTCTCATTGGGCGTTGTATTTGGACTTAACAAACAGGTTTACACTTTATGATATTCCGTTGCCCTTAATTATGCAAGATAAGATATCTATTGCAGAAGAATATTTAGACAAAGCAAAGCATTTACAACGCGACATTGTTGAAATTTTAGATTCATTTCTAAATCCAAACTCTTCAGTTACAAATGAATGTGATAAAATTATTTCGTAAGTGTAAGATTAATTTTTATGTTTTTTTAAATAGGCAAAACAAACAGCCTGTTTACCGACAATATTTTTAACATCTTGATTTAAAAATCATTTTAATTCTTTTCTTATCAGAGAATATAAATATAATGATGTTAGGTATGAAAAGCTTCAATCGAAACCTTTAACAAAACTAATTGTTAGATTAGCAAAAAAATACAATATACCACAGGAATCAGTACCTAATGTTAATCGACAAAAAAATTATGGCTGTCTTCAATATCTTATACATAAAAGATATATAGAAAAAGGAATGAGTAATGATGCCTGGCGCGAACTTGTTACGGAGCTATTAGCAAATTCAAAAGATCTTGAACTTGATCTAATATATGCAATTTGGTTCAACGGAGATACAAAAGAAACTTTATACTGGTTAAAAGTATTTCGGATACCTATAGATCGTTTACCTTTTGCACTTCAAGAAAATTTAGCAGATGGAATAAAAACTTCTGCTGATGACGATTCGTGGAATGGTCAAATGAAATTTTTTTCAACAAAAAGATCAGTCGTCGGTGAAGAACCGGGAACTTCAAGAAAGCAATTTTATACTTTAAATCTGAGAAAAGAGAATATTATTTATGTAGACCGACCAGAATCTTTTGAAGCTATGCTGAAAAGATTGAGATCAGAAAGCTTAATAGCATTTGATGCAGAATTTAAACCATCCTTTAAAGGTGAAGCTATGCTTAATTTAATACAAATTGCGGCAAAAGATACAGTATACTTAATTGATGTGCTTAGTAATGAACTCAAAGGTAATATGTGGAGTAAACTTGGAGAAAATGTTTTTTGTAATAACGAAATATTAAAATTGGGTTTTTGTTTGCAACAAGACTTAGCAATGTTAGAAAAAGATTTGCCAATGTTAAACATAAATATACAAAATAGTTGTGCGTATTTAGATATTCAAATTTTATGGAGAAATGTTAACAAAATAATGAGTTTTAAGTTTCCTTATAAGGGTTAATAAGTTTTTCTTATTTTAAAAAGTAGAAGATGTTGAATTTTTATTTTTCAGTTGAAAAACCTGGTCAAAATTTAAGTGCTTTGGTTGAATTATGTTTTGGAAAAAAGTTAGACAAGTCAAACCAATGCTCCAATTGGTCAAATCGTCCACTACGTACAGAGCAAATTAATTATGCGGGTAAATATTAAAATTATTAAGTAAATATACGAATTTTTTCAATTTATTTGTTTTTGTTTTCCGTTAAGCTTTGGATGCATTTTGTTTGATAGAGATATATAACACAATCAAAGAAATCTTTGAGAGACAGCCATATTGCTTTGATTCTTTTGTTGAAGATATTATTTCTGAATCTAAAAGCAAAACACAAAAATTCAAAAAGAAAGCGGTTCCAATAAAGGTTTCTAAAACTGAAAGCAATATAACAGAAGATTCAGAAACGCCAAGTCCGTTTTCAATGAAAACAACGTATATTTGCATATTTGCTTTTAAATGTGTACTATATATTTTACTTTTATAGCACTAAGGATGTAAAATTTATATGTGATGAAATGCTTGCCGGTTTGTGTAAGGGTCTCAGGAAATATGGTGTCGATTGCTTAGTTGTTGCAGGTTTAGAAGTCCCTGAGGATATTTGTATTAAAGTAGCTTTAAAAGAGAATCGTTTTGTACTAACAAAAGGTGAACGTTTTGTTAAGGTAAAAATGAATATCCGTAACACAATATAGAATTAAAAATTTTAAATTGTATATTTTCTTTCTATTTAGTATTCACAGTACTTACCATACGGTCATTGTTTTAAATTATATTCAAATGATGTTGAAGATCAAATTTTGGAAGTCCTAAAATATTATAATGTAGTTTTATCAAAGAAAGACATTTTCAGTCGCTGCCAAATTTGTAATTCAAATGAATTTATATTATTAAACACCTATGATATGAAGAGACTAATAAATGGAAATTATAGTAAAACAGATAACATCAAAAAACCTACAGAATCACCTCCTCAGCGGAATTTTATTTTAAGTAAGTTTATGTAAATATTTATATATTTTGTCTTCATCAGACTTGTATTTATTATTTCATTTAGATGTTCCAAGCAGCAAAACATTCTTCTCCAAAACAACAAATCAGAACAAAAAAATTCAGCTCAGTAAAATTCCTGACCATGTTATAGATTTAAATTATTATTTCTATATATGTGAGGTAAATTAATTTTTACAGCATCAAAATTCCTATTATTGAAATTTAATTTTCTTTGCAAAAGGGTTGTGGTAAATGTTATTGGGATGGAAGTCATTTGGAAAAAGTTTTAAATGGACCTGCCAAAAAGTTTATTGAAGACCGAAATTGAATTTGGTTGATAAAAACAATAATATTAAAGGTACAACAATATGTGTTCCTTTAAAAAAAGTTGTACAAAATTCTTAAGTTTTTCTCAAGATCGTTTAATTTCTGGTTTACCCTTAACCTGATTTTTTTTCTAATTTCCGTTAATATTATAAATTTACCTGAAAATTATGAATTTTTGAGAATATCAATAAAATATTGAAAATTAAGAAATTTTTTCATTGTAATAATGACTATTCATTTTAGGTTTTCATAGAGTATTAAATAGAGTTTTTATCATAGATTTCGATAGGAGTATTATTTATTACAATATTTATAGTGGAAAATCAACTTATTTACAATGGTTACATTTAAAATTATGACCAATCCGATAAAAATTTTAATACATATAATATGAATTACTTTTAATTTATCATTCAATTAAAAATAAGGAAATAGTATATACATTGTTAGATACTATTTTTATAAAAATATTTATCTGATTCAAATTTTCAGAAAGGTTCCCCTCTAATTTTCGAGTTTATGAACAATTCGTCATTCACAGTAAAGCTTTTCAATAGAAAAATTTACTCAAATAATCAGATAAATATTGAAAAATTAGGTGTTCACTAAAAGTGTTGAGCTTTTATGAACACTTTACCGTGCTCATCCTCCTCCAGGAACAACACAATCTGACATCCTCATTATTCTTCCGACACGCCTATTCCGAGGTCCATTACCTCTTCCGTCATCACCAGGTCTACCAGAACCACTTCCTCCTCCTCCTCCGGGACCCCATCCTTAAAAAAAATTTTTTTTGATAGGTAACAAACGTTTGAAGTAAATTTATTTTGATATTTACCCCCTCTTTGTCCGGAACCTCCACTACTTTGAAGTTCTTGCAATGGAGAAATTAAAGATGAAAAGCTAAAATTAATTAAAATAAATTATATTAGTACGAAAATGCCAACAGATGAATTAACATAAAAATATAAAAGGTAGGTACTCATATAATTGATAGAATATTATATATAGTAACTACATCTGCCTACCTGCCTATCTGCACATTAAAACAGAAAAATCAGTAATAGCACTTTGTCAAAATCAATAGATATGTATGTATCAAAATAGTGGGCAGGTGTAATGTTACAGAAGTAAAATTTCAAAAGAAATTCGGTTTTTATAAATTTGATTTTTGAAGGTATTCATTAAATTAATTGGGCATTCATTTCAACCGAAAATTATAAATATATATGTACATACTTATGTAAAATGAAATAATTAAATTTAAGTTATCTTGCATAATTTAAATTAATGCTAAAATCTGCTATTTAGCACATACACTAACTTAAAAGTAATAACGGATCAATTGCTACAATTCATTTTTATGTACGTCACCTATGTATACTTATATGGAGGACCATTAGATAATTTCGTAAATTTTATTGCATCATTTGTATTGTTTAAGTGAATTTGAATTTTGTAGGTAAATATGTAATATTAAATATAATTTTTCTTTTAATTAGTTTAATTTTACTTACAAAGCAATCAAAAAATGATAAAACCCTGTGAATAGGCCCAAAAACCAGCTTACACTCCAAGGTTGTTTCTCATAAACTCTTCCATCTGCATTTGAATTATTTTAATATATAAAAATTTAAAATAAAATAAAAACATTTACCACTTCCAATATACACCATCTTGAATTATATTAGCTTACTAAAAATTTACATTTCAAAATTATGTTAAACTTAAATAATTCTAGAAAATTTTTAACTTCCTAGAATTGAAATGTAAAGAGTAGTAGGAAGAAATAAAAATATGAAGTGAATGTTGTCAAAAACAAATATGTGTCACTTTATCAATTACGTGTATTTCGTGACCATAGACAAATTAGATCGACAGACTGGTATGAAAGGTTATCAAAAAATTCTTGTAAACTATATAGTAAATTTTACGATAACGTTTTTATATTTTGGAACTCAACTGTTTTATTTTGGGTGAAAATATTTTTTGTACTAAAATTACCTGCTTAAGTCTATTATTTAATTGTATTTTAATCTGTCATGTTATAAGCATAAAGAAAAATAAATGTACCTGCGACATATTGTGTTTCAGGCTTTTGAATCTTTCTGTTAATAGATCTGTTGGCTTCACAAATGAAATGAATCGCAAACATTGCGTAAACATCAAATACCTTTTTTCTAAAATTTTTAAAAATAGAATTCGTGGTAGCGATTTGTGAAATTTTATTAAAATTTTATGACGTTTTTAATTTTTTTGACGCTTTTGTGGCTTTTAATTATACTGTCTTTGTTAACCGTTTAGCTTCCCTTTGACTTAAATTGCCTTGCTTATTCAATTGTTGTTGTCGTTGTTTTTCTTTAAATTATTTTGAATATTTTTATAATTTCTTGTCAAATTTTTTATTTTAGTCTAATTACTAACGTATGTTATGCGTATTAGTAGTAAATACTTTTTTCTTCTTTTTATATTTCTCTTATATTTCTTAACATCAATTTTCTGCAGCAAGAAGTATTTGTTTCTATTGCATATTTTTTAGTTGCATGTGTAATGCAGGCCTTAAACTTTATGCTGATGGCTGATAGCTTTTTTGAAAATGGTTTACTTACATTTGAATAAATGGCGCTTTAATATTCTATTTGCTTTTTTTAAATATTTAGCATCAAATTCGGCTTTCGAAAATATTATGAAAAAAATGCATATACATAAGTTTTACTCCGTCCGCGCGTCCGTAGACCCTTTTACAAAAGATCGAAAGTTGAAATTTTGTACATATGTACATATGTAGATCTTTGCTAGAAACTTATTTCAGTAAACCAAAATTTTTACTTATATCCCTCTACCCTTTATAAAAGTTATAGTTACTTAAAGGCCGAAAATGTAATTTTTTTGACTATTTATATTAAAAAAATAAACATTTTTCAAGCTTTGCGGCTAGTTTGTGCTACCACGGCACAGCATAATTGGATATTTAAAAACAAAATGGCTGCTAAAATTAATTGTTATTTAAAACCCGTTTTTTTTCAAATTTTTGATATCGTTTTTTTTCTATATACGAGTACAATAGGTTGTAGGAGTCAGAAATTTTGGGAGTTTATACATACTAATAAAGTTTTTTTTTTTGTTAAAACAAACATTTTTTCCATTTCCTTCTCATCTCAAGTTACCGCCTCTCTGAATTTGTAAAATTAAAATTTTCTACACTATATATTTTCGAAACCGCATGCTTTTCCAAATTTCTATAAATGCAGAAGCTAACGAGAAATTCCATGCCAACAAAAAATATAATTATTTTTTGGTGGCATCTATTTAAATATTATATTGGTCATTTATTGGTTCTTTCATCTGTTGAAGTGAAGAGTATTGCTTTACAAACTATTGGTTCGACCCAGCTTTTTTATATTAGACAATAAGCCAGGTCTGTTGATTAATAATTTATTTCAAGTTAACACTGCCCGAAATTAGGAAATTTTCAATTTTGTTATATTTCCAAAATCGAAAGTTTTTCAAAATTTCTTGCAAACAAAATATAATATAATTATTCATTTTAACTAACTTAATTTTGTGTTTAAATTTTCAATGATATTGTTTCGGATATGATTTTTATTATAGTTTTTGCAATTAAACTAAATTATTTTTAATTACTTTTTCTAAAAAAAAATTTTCGCTTATGATTAGAGGTTCTTGTGAATGTTTTCTTGTGTATGAATGTGTTCTTGTGTTCTTTGAATATTAAATTGGCTTTTATCAGCTAGATTATTAAAAATTAATTAAATTTATTGTTATTTAAATATTAAATATTTTAAATTTAAATTTAAGACTAAAGAAATCTATAAACTCTCTATTGTGAGAGTACAATTATAATGATTTCTGATTAATTTGGAAATATGAGTGTAATATTGAAGAGAAAATCTTTGTATTTTAATCAATTTTCTATCAGTAAATTAGATAAAATAATACAATTGAGTTCCAGGTTTAAATTACATTTTACATGCATGTATGTGCATAACGTGCTAATTGTCTGCCTATATGTACATGGAGAATTTTTTTTAAGATTGGAGATTTAAGATGTATTTTAAAAAGATTTTTATATTTTATGTTATTTTTTATTTAAAATATTCTATAGGTAATAGCTTCCAGTCACGCAACATCTTAATTTTTTCTTTTACAAAATAATAATACTGATGTATTAAATTGGTCTTTTTTATCATTTAAAATATTTTATACATGTATGTTGGTACACATATATTTATATATATATAATTATAATTTGTTTGTTTATTTGATATGTTGCGTTCGTGTCAATTGTTTCTACAATCTACTTATGTACAAAGTGACTGTAAATAAAACCAGGAAAATAATTTTTTATTATCTATAGTTTAAGTCAATGTACACATATTGATAATTAGGTACCTATACTTTAAAAGTTATTAATTTTAGTTACTAATTTAAGAAAATAATTCAATTCTTACGGACACGTTTTCAAAATGATAATTATAATGGTAAACTTAAGCTATTTAACATAAATGGATTACATAGTACAATTTACATCATACATAAAAATTGGAAAACAATTTAATTCAATTGATTTTTATATACACATATGTAATATAGAAAATAATATAGGTAACTAACCACGATTATTATAACAATTATATTAAAATAATTTTATTGTACCAATAAAAAATATTGTGAATGATGTCTTAATCGATTGTTTGCGAGACATCTTAAGCAAATTTTTTTAATGCTATTGTTTTCATATAATTATAGTAATTTAATTAAAAAGATGAATTATTAATTAAATTATCATCAAGCTATAATGTTAGTTAAAGTTTTTATATAAAAAAAAATCTTATTAACCATTTTTTAATTATACTGCTTGTATTTAAAAAGACAAAGAAAAAAAATTATAGTAAGAAAATCATAATGAGCTAGAGAAATTAAAACAAAATATTTAAGTAAGAATTTATAATATAGATAGAGTTACTGGCCATTAAATTCATTCAACATAATTTATTTTTAGAGATTAATCTTATTTTAATAAGATTTAAAGTATTTCCGAAATAAATGGTTACTTTAAAATATGTAACAGCTGAGAAATTAATATTTATTCAAATTAATTCTTGGATTAAAAATGGCTGAATAGTTACTATTATGGCTACTCTCCTTATGAAATTTTCATAAATACGTACTTTATAAATGTTGTACACTTCACCGAATTATATGTCAAATAGCTTGCAAAAATACAAAAATAATTGACGATCACACATATTGAAAAATACATCACTTCTGGTCTATTGCAATACAATAGAATCTAATATGGATCAAAGATTGTATTTAAAATTTATTAATAATTTAAAAATTGAAAATGAAATAAACATTTTTAGTATTTGAATTTTGAAAAAAGAAATAAACATACTACACTAAATTTCTAAGAAAACGCAAATGATGGATCAAAAAAAAAAATGTTTTGTAAGGTAGCATTTTTACTTTGAACAAGTGAAAATACTTTTTTAAAAATATATTTTAATTTATCATTAGATAAATAGCTCGTTAGTATTGCATAATTTCCGGGGGTAAACAAAAATTCATTCATTAATAAAAAGATATTTACTGTTAGATTTTTTGCTTTTACTTAAATCTGGGAAAGAATGCAGTTTTAGAAATATATGAAAATGAAAATTAAAATTTTGCTATAAATTTGAGAAGCGATAACTTTGACTCATGGGGATGAGAGAAAAGAAAAATAATTTCGTTCCGACAATTAAAAAACTATTTCCTTATTCTTAGAAATTTTTAAAAATTTTAGACTATTAAAATTGTTTAGTAAAAAAAAAACAAATGTATATGATTGTAATATTTATGCCTATGTCGTTTCATGATAGTTGGTAGGTCACTACTTTTCTGAGTTTGCACAATTTAAAAATAGTATGTTAATTGAATTATTTCATACAATCTGCCTATTTTATACTGAAACTAAAAAGAAGAAGTTAATGAATTGATTAGTAATTAGGAATTAAAACTTGCAAAACAAACCCACAAAATCTACTATTTTCGTAGCCACTTTGGAAGCAATCTGGTATAGCAGCTATATTTTGCTATTTTAAAAATAAATAATTGAAATCTTAAAATTTACAAATGAGTATACAAATTAATTTTCGTACAAATAAATTTCGAATAAATTGCGAGAATGAAACTATTATACAAGATTTTAGTAAGTAAATAAATTATAAATCTATTATTTTTTTTAACTTTAACAAATTAATAACTTCCCACTTTTTCTATTCTTTTCATTCTTATTATTAATAAATTGGCAACTAAAACAAAACTTTTTATTTATTAAGTTTCTTTTTTTTTTTGTTTTCAAATCGAAAAGTTAATTTTTAAGAAAATTACTAGCTAACTATAAAGCTGCGAAACTATAAATAAATTCTTAGTTAAACTTAATTCACATTTTATTATGAATTTTCCCATAGATGTAGAAGTGTGTATATTACTCTTAAAAAATTTTATAAATAATTAATTTAAATATTAAAATATAATTCAAATTTATTGATAATAGTATAACAAATAAAAAAATTTTTAATAAAATAAAGAAAAATTTACGTGAAAATTATTAGAAAAAAATTAAAAATGAAATTTTTAATAATTAATTTTGGAATTCACATTTTATTATTATCATATAATATAGTGGAAATATTTGGTGATGAAGAAGAATTTGATGTTGATAGTAATATTTTAGATCATAAAGTATTTTATTGTAAACCAGATTTATGTAAAATATGGAATGGAACCGATTATAATTATTTGAAACATATTGGATGTAAGTAAAAATGCATAATTATCTACTCATTTAATTTCATTTGCTTGTATTTTATTTACTAAATTATTATTACCTTATGAGAGTACCTTATCCTATTCTGTATATATAATTAAAATAGGCAGTAAAGTGGGTGACTTTATGAAAAATATTTACAGCCTAATCGTGTATTTCACTTTTTCAACACACTTTTTATTCACTTTCAAATTAGATTACGTTATTCTATGTGCATTTCATTTTTCCAATAAGACTACCCAGTTTTTCATTTGGATTTTTGAAATTTTTCTCAAATTATCGACTGAACGTTCTACTTCAAAAACAAAGCAAATAAATTTTATATACATTTTTGAAGAAAACGAGACACGCCAATATACGGAATAATTTTTTTCACTCGAAAATTACATTATAAGAGTATATTGATAGTTACTCACTTTCTTCTCACTTGGCGAGTAAAATAGTGAAATTCACGATCATATATTTTCTAATTTACCTTTTTTTTGCTTTAATTGTTATCTTTATGAGTAATTCATATCATTTACTAATGGTATATAAATATTCTTTCACTTATCAAACAACAATATAATTGAAAATACAAAAATTCTATTTGCAATTGAAAGTGATTTGAATTTTAATTAGATAACATCGTTTTATATCAATAATATAATAGGTTGCATAAAATATTAAATAGAAAATATTATGATTTTGGGAACTAATAGTAAAATGTTGTCACTTAATTTTGCAAATAAAAATTTGAAATTTAATATATTTATATAATTCTGCAATAATTGATTCTATATAAAAATATTTATGCTTATTTATCATATGTTGTTATTTAATAATTTAAATTTTCAAATTAAGTGAAACAACAATATGCGATATAATATATTTAATTCCATTAAAAATAATTTATTAAGTTGATTATTTATAATTTTAATATTTATTTATAATAATGTAAAGGTCTATGCTTATGTGTGGGAGTATAATTGAGAGGAGTATGTAGTTAAGCATATTTATTATGCAAAATAAATATCAAATCCTCAATATTTAAGTTTATAGGTTAGTTTCAATCCTTTTATATTATAGAATTTTCATAAAAAATCTTCACAATTATTTTCATATAAAAATACTTAGGTAACGAACACAAAAATTGAACAATTATTCTAATATAATTCCATGATTATTTTTGCTAAAATATTATACAAGCGTACAATTCAGGATACTAAAATCATAATAATTTTTGAATAAAATTTATGAATTCGAATAAAAGTATGTTATAGCTATTAAAAATAATATAATAGCTAAATAGAATAATTTTTGTACTTTTAGTAAATTACTGCCCCTATACTTATGCAATTTCATATGATTTACATAGTTTATATAGGTAGCCTAGCTATGTATATAATTTTTTATATTGTTTAATTTTTTGTTTAGGTAATAATGATGGTGAATTTGGTTCCGATTGTCCAACAGATGCTACTATGGTAGATATGAATCAAAGACGTATTAATTTAATACTTGATTTACATAATATTGCTAGAAATAAAATAGCAATGGGTGAAGTACCAGGTTTTGAACCAGCTGAAAATATGCCAGTTTTAAAATGGGATAATGAATTACAATTTCTTGCTGGTCTTAATGCTAAACGTTGTCGTTTCGAACATGATATGTGTAGAAATACAGGTAATATATAAAAAAAAATTTATTTAATATTATCGCCTATATATGGAAATTTCAAAAAATCTATGAAAATATAAACGAGTATAAATAATAATGTATTTAAAGTAATGGTTAAAAACAAAAATTTTAATAATTTACTATATTTTGTTTTTATGATACATAATATAAATTAAAGCCCAAGAGTTTCGATTATTTTATAATTTTCTACACTGTCCTGGTTCGTATATAAGACCATAGTATTAAAAATTACGAACCAGGGCAGTGCTTCTCTATTTATACAAATGATCTTAGGATCTCTTTTAATTTTGCGTGTTTAAACACTATATATTACAAGACATTTTAAATAATTCTATATTATTCTAAAACTTCTATATAATAATTAAATATTTTAATATAATTCAAAATAATATTTTATTTAAAAGATAAATTTGAAATTAGTGGACAAAATGTTGGTATCAGTTGGCAAAAACCAGCTTTTCATTCAAATTCAAAACGAATAAAATTAATTGTTGGCTTATGGTTTAATGAACATAAAGATGCAAATCAATCGTTTATTGATGCATATGAAGATCGTACAGATGGGTAAGAAATTTATTCTAATAAACTATTATAATTAATAAGTAATTTATGTATGCGATGATTGCATAATTAATTTAAAAGCTTGTTTAAAATTAAAATTTTTAATACAAAATATGTATACATAATTTTTTTTTATATTATTCTAAAATTATATTGTGTAGATGAGAAGTTGAACGTGCTATAGTGATTTTTATCTAATAAATTATTAATTGCAAACATATAATAATTAATTGATAATAATTAGTAATTAAATTGTCATGTTTATTATATTTTGTAATTAGTACAATTTTATTTAAATTGAAAATTTTATTAAAGGGAAGATATACATGTAGTTTTTAAATTTAAAAATAATAATTACAATTTTATTAATGTTTGTAATATTTAATTTATTATTTTGAAAGTATATGCATATTATTACTGTATAACTTCATTTTAATAGTATGTTCACGACATAAAAAAGTTCATACTTGCTTTCATTATTATTTTGATATTAATCAAATTCTTTAATATAAAAATAAAAATGTTTTGATCGAGCAAATTTTATTAATATAAAAATGAGAACAGATAATATAAAAATTGTATAAAGGAGAAGTTGTGAGGAGTAGTAATGTACACTTATTGCGGTAGATGGCTCAACATTTATCTATATAAATAGATTAATATGTTATTATTTTTGTATCTTACAGAATTTTTATACAATTCAAAGTTCCCGTTACCAACTGCTCCGGAGTATTTTCGAATTCTACATTCTTTTAAAAGGAACCCACTCTCGGTTTCTTCTCAAAACTCAAAATAATATTTAAATGTTTAATTTTGAAATGAATTCTAGTCAATTTTATGACCTATTTATTTTAAAATATTAAATTTATTCGTGATTGCTCTTTTTTATATAGAGGGTGTATTATATTAGGTGCTAAACATGTAATTTCAGGATTAATTCTTTGATTAATTTCAAGCAATATGCATTTTTCTCATGTTTTTAAACACATTTAGCACGTTTTACTGGCAAAACTATGGGAGATGAAAAAAAAATTTCAAATTGGTTAACTTTAAGATAATTACTTATCGTAACGCATCCAAAAAAAACTTCAAAATTTTAAAAAAAAAATTTGACTTTGATAAGCTCTATCTCGAAAAGTATGACTTAAATCAAATTGATTTTAAGACCGAAAATAAACAGCAGTCAATTGCGTGTGAAACCAGCCCCCGATAGTTACTCTATATTTATATACAGGAAAATCTGGTATCTTTTTTAACAATAAACTGTTGTTTGTTTTTAACAAAACAAGTACATTTGCACCCGCCCTTCCCCTCCACCCATACAGTTTTTTGCTGGGAATTGTTTAAAGAATCATTCCTGATATTATTTGCCACCTTATGCGAAACACCCTGTATACGAATTTTAAAAATTCCAATTAAATCAATGTTGAACTCAGAAACTGTCATTTGAAAAAAAAAAACAGTTTTCTAAATATTTTTTATTCTTTACGTTAGTTTATGTGGTTCTACCGCATTTCACAGTTTAATTGATGAACGCGAATTCGAAAAATCGGAAGATAACTGGTTTAAATCTATTTGGAGTAAAACAAATTTTTCAGAATTTAAAAAATGCAAATTATCTTTTTCAATTCAGAACTTTTCAAATATTGAATACTTTTTTAATATTTAGGCATTAATTGCTGTAATAATTAAGCTACTAAACAAAAAATCAATTGAGTTATTGGCAAGGTTGCATTGTTTGCAGTTTTCCTTTTCTTTTAAAGTAGATATTAATAATTATAGGTATTCAATGTTTTATCCATAGAAACTGCCACATAGAGTACAATTTTAGAAGAAGCTTCAAATAAAGTCATAAATGTATATCTAAATCACATAATTCAGCAAAGGAAAATTATTGAAATAATAAATGTGTTTCAAACATCAGTGAAATATATTATTAAATTTGCATACTTAGATACATGTGAATAATAATTACAGAGATTAAAGTTCAATTGAAATATTTGTACAATAAATTAAATATTTGTACAATAAAATAATAAAACTTTAATTATATTTGGTTTTTATATTATTTTGATAGCAAAGAAAATTAATTAATTAAATTATAAAATTTTTCTTGAATACACTTATATAGATGAATTGAAATTTTATTTGTCTGTCTGTCGTCCGTTCAGAGAAATCTCACTATAATCATTTTGATTTTATTGTATATTAGCATAATTCAAAAATGTAGTATTTAGTATTTTAAGAATACTAGTATATCAACAATATTAGCATATAGTATGTTAAGAATACTAGTATATATAAAGTACTAAAATTTAAAGTGGAGTTGATTTGGAATTAATTCATGTCTTAAAGGTTCTATAAAACGAATTGAGTTTTAGAATGTGTGTGTAATTGAGATCAAAGTTAAAAACTCTTTTTTTGAGCTTGCAGCACCGAATCAATTATTTTTAGCGAAGGAATTTAAATTATTTAATTCTCAACATTTTAATTTTATATGAAATTAAATTTTGTAATCACCTGGGGAAAAAGTGATTTTGTAAGAACCTGGTGCAAGTTCGTAAATTGCAATTCAATCAATTAGGATTTGCTGAATGAAGCTACAGCTTTATTGGCAATAAGTACCAATGAACTTTTAAGGGGTTGTATTATAATTCAATATATTAGGAATAAACTTTCTTCCTATGCGTCACACTTGGAATATTTGAGATATTTTTTCTCATATATTTACTCTTTATTTTCAAAATTAAATTGTGGGTGAAACGCTGAATATATAAATTTTAGTTCTATATTAATATGTTGATTAAATTATTTTAATTTTCAACTGCCTAATATTAGCAAGTCTGATATTTTATCAATAATAATTATTAAAAAAAATAACTTATACATTTATTTATAGCGGTATTTAATTTAATTGGTAAATTTATGTACCTATTGTTAAAATTATTATATTGTTATGTACCACTAATATATATGATATAACTGTATGTGTATATTAATATCGTTTATCTATAGTCGAAATTTATAATTTGAATAATGTGCCTATAAATTAATTAGATTTAATTGTTATTATTGGCACCAAATTATTACAAATGAATTAGTTGAGAAAACTATTAACAAATTACAATTAATAGCAATAATTTTATGAAATTTATAAAGAAATCAATCCGTTTTATTATACTAAGATATTTTATAATCAATAAATTAATTAAAAACCTATGAAAATAAATAAATTTTCACTTGCAATATTTTGCGGTTATGTATTATATGATTATAGTGAATGATATCACAATTTAAATCATCAGTGTTGATTTCTTGAATTTTAATTGCAATTAATTTAAGCTTTTAAATCTCTAAAATCATCAATTACAGATAGTCGATTAGTTCTGAAACGAATTAAGTCAATTTTTATCAAATCTCTATTATTTTTTGAAAATTAATTATTTTTCATATGTATGATTTTTTTTTTTTATTTCAGAAAAAAAATTGGTCATTTTACACTAATGGTATCAGATCGTGTTAAAAAAGTTGGATGTTCAGCTGTAAGATTTAGTAATGATATACGTGGTAGAGCATTATATGTCGTATGTAATTATGATTATAATAGTATTTATGGTGAATCAATTTATAAATCTGGTCCATCAGCATCAAATTGTGATTTCCGTAAGAGTGGTAGATATCGTGGTTTATGTGATTATGATGCTGATTATGATGAAAGTGATGAAAGTAATGAAATTGATAAAAATTTATTAGAAATTTCGGAATTGCTTTAACACGACAAAAGAATCACATATTTTATCTTTTAATAATTATTAAGAAGTTGAAAAAGAAATTATTTTGTTCTTCTATTAAATTGTTAAATATTGTTTTTTATATTTTTTTTATTCATTATATTAATGTACAATTATACATTTATTTTGTGTAATATATTTTATTGTGTTCTAAAGTTTGAAATATTCATGTATTATAAGCTATTATATATTTTATATCAGTATATTCTTAATAAATTGTAAATTGTTAACTAAATTATTACTAATTGCTTTGTTGTTTGATAATTGGAACCCTATGGTTAGTGGTTCGTATGTTGAAAAACCTGAAAGGTGTAACAGTGCGCAAGTTTTGTGTTTTATATTTTTTTTTTTTCTTTTTTTTTTTAAGGAAAAATAAATAAAGAGTTATATTTTGTTTATGAATTTAAAACAACTTTATTTTATTTATTTGAATTTTTATTCTTATCTTTTTTTATTTAAAATTCTCACAATTAAATTCTCACAATTTAAATTTATTATTTATTATTTATAATTCACAATTTTCTTATATGACAATTTTATTCAATTTGATTTTCTTATGATTTATTATTTTTAATTTAAAATTTATATGGCAATTTAATTCGATTTAATTTTCTTACAAAGATAACTTTTCTTTCTTTTACGGGTAATATATGACAATTACTATAATATATAAAATAACTGATGTTTTTACTTTTACGGCTAACGACTGATTAAAACTTAATAATTATAAGAAACATCACATAGTAAGGTAGTTTAAATGAAATTTGTTAATTAAGCATTTTTACATAGCATGATTTTTACACGCGCAAAAGTATAACAGGTAAAAATGCTGATGTGATTATTTATTTTAGAATTTGAATTTAATTTAGTAGAAAGAATAAAAAAAAATATTTTAAAAGGAAAAAAAAATTGTTTGTTTAAATTAAGTGGAAGTAACGGGTAGAATTACAACTTTATTCGGTTGTATAACTGAATATGTAACTCGCATAACTTTCTATCACATTGTAAAATATGATTGAAAAGAAATATGATTGGAAAGGTACTTTTAAGAGGGCGGAAATATGAATTACATATTCTGTAAATTTTAATAAAATAGATAAAATTACTCAAACTTAACACATTAGTTCTGCAAATTTAATACAAGTTATTAATTTTGTATGACTTTTTTTTGGAACTTGCGTCGTTTTTCTGTGAATTTGTTATAATAATGTTTATGATTCGTCCTTATCCAAACTGATAATAGTGTATAATTAAAAAAAAAAGAATAATGTTATTATTATTTTCTTAGATAAATTTAAAAAATTTTTAAAAAGAAATTTATCTGTTATGTTATGTTATGTTAATCTTAATTCTTTTTTTATATAAACTTTTTTAGAGACAATACGAGTATCATAAAAATTGCGGTAATTACAGAGTGATATAATAGTATATTCATTATATCACTCATAATTCGTAATATTTATAATATATTTATGTATATTATGAATTCACAGTGCATAACATAAAGTTTCGAGGAAATTGTATTTAAAATTTTTTTGCCTTGTGTATTATGTATGTATATGAATATGTACGTATACGCATATATTCCATATACATATGTATATGTATAATATATGGAAATATGAATTTACATGCATTTCTTTTTAAGACCAAAATCTGATATTATTTTTATAACTTATTTATTTAAGAAATATTACTCTTGTCATCAATAATGCTATATCATATTTATAAGGAAATTGAAAAGTTTTTGAAAATTTTGCATGAAAAAATTTCATAAAAAGAAAAAGAAAATTAATAGTATAAAAGTTTTTATATATTAACACTTAAAAAAAATGATAAAATGAAAGGTATGTAATATTTTATTTGTTCATGTGAATGTTCAATATAAGTAAAATTCTGTATGTAATAATTTTGTAAATCCTTATATATAAGTTTTCATATATGATATAAGAAATACTGCTGATTTTTAAACATTAAAAATATTCATTTATACATACCCAGTGCATATTACATATACAGGGTATATATGTAATATGCACAGGGTACATGCATATTGCAAATATGCATAATATTATGATAACAATTTAAAGAGAAAAATGCAATCAAATAGATTTCAGGTGTTTGTTATATTCTATACATATACAAGTTAACGACGATATGATCCTTATTGGAAAAATTGGGTCACGTACAATTTTATCTTCACGTGTTTTAGTTTTTCTAAGTGATTGTCGTCAAGAATAATTCCCAGTGTATACTATATTATAATAAATTTCATACATGTGTGTTCATCTTCTACAAATGTACATGACATGTATATTTTGTTATTTTATGAATATTTATGATGTTATTTCTTAAACAAGAAAGGTTGTATTCTTGTTTAAGAAGGGTTGTTCTTATTTAAATGTAAAATTTCGTAAATTTAAGCTTGATATTATACGGATTAGATATAAATTTATTATAGTATAACGATGAAAAAATGTAGCAAAGAGCTTAAACACATTTTACATGTAAACGTAAATGCTTTCGCATTTTGAGATTTAAACAAAACGAGAAAAAATTTAGTTGATCATGTCAACTCTGTGATACCCGTACGAATGCAAAATTTCAGTACGGTGTTTTCAATATTTTCTAAGATATGGCCAAACTGCTATTGAAGTTGTATGGCAGCTACCAGAAAGAACCAATATTTACGGTATTTGATTTCGCATATATTACATGCATGTATACAGCTATACGTTTAATACATTTATAACGTAAAAGTATGTTATATTCCTTGATATTTATACAGTGTGTAATATTCGACAACTTTAGTTACAGTTTAAAGTATTTATTGCATAGGTATGTACGAGTATTTATTATTCAATATTCAATAATAGGTTAAGTGTTTCAAATCTAGTTTTGCAATTTCTATAAAGGATTCATATCTAAAATCTTATATCCTTACAACGTATTCTAAATAAATTAAACTTTTATTCAAAGAATATAAAGTTAAAGCAAATTAAATATATTATGATATTGAATATTCAATATTTTAGCATTTAGTGTTATTAATCCAAACAAACTTACGTGTGTATGTGCCATTCTCGCTGTTTGATATTTCTTTATACACATGTATATAAAAAGTAAATATAAATAGTAAATAATACCATAAAAGTAGTATTTAAAATAAACAATTGTTTTAATTTATTTACTGTACCGCAAGTGTGGCATAATTTTTGGATAAAAGTTGTTTTGATTTCGGATAGCTGCCATATAGCTTCCAATACCATTTGCTTATCTGATAAGCAAATAAGATACCTGAAATTATAAAAGCAAGAATACTGAAATTGCACATAAGAAAATTTTGGGCCATCATTTTTGATAGTAGTTGTTGATAATTTATTGCTTGTCTGCATGCGCTGAATGTCATTTGTTTGATAAAAATCGGTGAAATTTCTTGACACTTTGTGGAAGCTGCCTTGCAACTTCAATAGTAGTTTGACCATATCTTAGAAAATATTGAAATCGCAGTAATTTTGCATAAATTAGTATGGTAATATGGCTACTTAAAGTCATAGTCGGTCCCATAGTCAGCAATGGCGTATTTACTTGCACATAGTAGACACGGTTAATACTAATTTTTCTCGTTTAACTTAAATTTATTACATTGTCATATCCTATTTCGTTATATATAAGTATTTCTTAGAATTAATAAGAATAATAATATTTAATTCACGGCAAATGGTCTTTATTTACGTTATAAGCTCCATTTTGAATTTGAAAATTTTTATCAGATTTAAAAAATTTAAAATTTCATTTGCAATAATAATATTGTATTGATATTTTTTAACATGTAAAATTTATACTTAGTCTTTATAAATTAATGACTGATTTTTAAAACTATTCTTCCAATTTCGTCCTTGTAAGCAAAAACCTATATTAACCTTTACATATTTGCATATTAATAATTAAATTATTTAAAATTCGAACTGTGATTATATATAACAATTACAATAAAACCTGATTAAATTTTTATTAAAGTAATATTTCCTTAAAATCGCTTAAAAAATTCAAATTTTTAAATTATTAAATTTTAATCAAATCAAATAATTAAAGTTAATATAAACTGATATGTATACATATATGTACGTAGGTGTTTTATGAAAATATTTTCAGGTTAAAAAAAAATAAATAACCTTTTTATTGACAGACTGAATTATCAGAAAAAATTGAAAACATGTAAAAAAAATCGGCCGAATCAATGAATTGTAAAAAATCACATTTCACTTTAATAAAAATTTTTAATACCAAAAATTTTTATTAAATAATTTAAATTTTGAAATTTAAACAAAAATATTGAAAAAAACATAATTTTTTATTTATAGCAGAAAGGAATGCTGTTGAATAGTTTAATGTTTAATGTGAACACGAGCAGACTTACAAAAAAAAAATTAAAAACAGGATTTTTTCTTTTCGAATTTTTGAAAATATGCTAAAAATAAGGACAATTTTTATTTCCTTTTCCGTGTTTATTGTTAATAATAATTAATGAAGCGGTTTAATAATTTTTAGTATCGTCATATTTCAGAATATTGACTGCCACCTGTTTTATTATTAATATATTAATATTTAATCATTTAATTAATAAAAATGATTCATTTATACAGAGTGATTTGGTTCTTTATTATCATTTTTTATAAATAAAAATAAATATTTAATCAAATATTCTTAAAACCCGTGCATCTCGTGCTTTGGCAACCACTTCTGAATAAATGTTTTAGCTATTTTTGATTATTAAGATTACTCATTTTTTCAATCAAATTTTTCTCATATTTCTCAAAATATCGATTGAATTTGTCAACCTGTTCTGTACGTTCAGAAAGGTGAACAAATTTTGTATGTTCATTAGAACAAACGAAATAAGGAATACGAAAAAAATCATTATACTTCATAAAAATCATATTATGGCAATAAATAATACTCTGAGCAAGGCGACGAGATATATTCTTAACTTATTGATATAACAAAATAAGGTCTGAAAAGCTTGTTTAGTGAAGAGCGAAAATATTTTTCAAAATTAATTCAATTAAAAACATTTAAAATTATTTTATTCTTTTTTATTTTATTTCTTATTTTATTGTTCTTTATTCATTTATACATTATAAATTCATCATTTATATTATTTTGGAAATTTTATATACTTATAACAATATATAATATATTGAATATACATACATACAAATTAAATCATAGGTATATAAAAAAAATTATTAATTGACTTCATTAAATATTTTTGTTTTTTTTTTACTTTAAAATTTTACTAAAATCTATAAATGCAGCTTAAAAGAAAGAAGAAAAAATATATAAAAATATTTAAAATTAAAAGAAAATTATGTAATTTTTTATTTTTCATTCAAATTTTTTTAAATTTTAACAAGATTTGTTTTTAAAATTGTTGTCATTTGTTGCCTTTTTATCCCAACTCAAAATATCACCTTTCATTCACTTTTTCACAAATAAAACATTTAAGTTTTTTTAACGAAAGAAAATGGACAGAATAAAATTTTTCATTTTTATTTATTTAAGCATATTTAACAAAAAAAAAAAATAGTACAATCTTAAATGAGGTAAAAGAATAACAGATAAAACGCCATTTTTTAAGTAGTTGTTCGCCGTATATATGGCAATAACCTAGAATTATTTTATTTTTGTTTTTTTCATCTTAAAGAATTTTTCAAATTTAAGTTTCTTTTTCATTTTCTTCTGATATTATTTGCATATATTGCTACTTTCTTATATTGCTACTATTATTTTCTTATAGACTTAAGTGTGGTAGTGACATTTTATGCGAGAAAAAAAAAGAAAAACTATATGTCTATGTATAAAGATGAAAAGGAGGGCACAAGCAAGAAAAAAAATGAGAGAAAATCATAAACTGTAATCTTTTTTTTTTATTTTTGTTTTAACATAAAAAATTTCTTGCAACAATAAATTTCGCACCGTTATGCAAAAAAGGACACATCACATATTATATACATAATAAGCATTAAGTTGTAAAAAGAAAAACAAAGGAAAATACAATAAAAAAATATTTAAAATGGAAAGGAAAATTTAATATGATTTTTCTTTTTCTGGTTTTCTCTAAATAAGGTAAAACGCGACATCTATAAATATTTACATGAACAAATATTAAACAAGAAAAAACGAAAATAAATGTAGAATATGCCTTTTTATGTAAGTATTAAATACATACACACATACATATAATATGTATATTTATATATATAAGAAAATAACACCTAATCTAAAAAATTTTGAAAACAAAACCATATGAAATAATGTAGATATACAATTAATTTTGGGATTTTAGTTTTTACAAGTGAATTTTGAACTCAGCTATTCGAAAGTGAAAAATTTTAAATTAAAATTATTCATTTAATTCATTCAAGTGAACATTCATTTTGTTCACTTGAATTATTAGGTTACTATGTAGTTGTTTTTAAAAGCACAGAAACTGTAATGAAATTTAAATGTTTCCTATACAGCAAAAATGTTTTAAATAAAAACTGAGGGAATTTGATTATACCTAAAAATTATATATATTTTTTGAAAATGGGGTACTATTAAAATAGACCCCATTGAAACAAACTAGTGCTTATTCTTGTTAGTTTCCATATAATAAGTACATGCGTATTATTGAAAGGAATTCTCTGATATTGGAAAAACTATTTCTTTTAATTATGAACAGAGTTGCAGTGGTAGCGGTATTGATAACACTGTGGTGTGTTTTTCTTTAAATTTTTGTTCTAATATGGTTACAATTTTGATAAAATATTTAAAATAAGAGTTATTTCAATCAGAGAAAACAATAACCAAGGGAAAGAGAGAAAAAAAAAACTAAAAAAATCAATCGAAATATCTGGCATTCTCAACAAAGTCAATTGATAATGAAATATCACTGCCCCGTTGCCATATTGTTTACTGTCATGATTCTGTTATTGCACTTTAAATAGTTAAATAAAATGTTGTAAACCAATTGTTTTTAGGAATTATATTATATTATAAGTTAAATGGAAAGATGAAAAAAATATAAATGGCATAAGACCACATAATTAAGTTTTAAAATTATTATTTACTTGTTTATGAATTAACTATTGAAATTTACAATGTATTCAAAGTTATTCTTCAATTTTATTTAAAAAACAAAATGTATGGATTTAATAAATTTCAAAAATACAACGGCAACATTCTATAAATATTTGGTATTAATTATGGTGGAATAATTTCACATAGCTATTTTCAAAAAATAAAAATTTCGTAATATAAAAAGCAATGAAAAAATATTTTTTGAGAAAATTTTTTTCTTTCACTAACGAAGAATAAAAAAAAAATAAATAAATCAGATAAGTAAATATAGAAATAAAAAAGAAAATAAACAAAATTCCGCGTACATACATACATACATACATACATACGTCATGTATTTAGCATGAATGTTAGAATTTGTGTAAGTTAGAAAGCAAAAAAAGAAATAAAAAAAAACGAAATAAAACACCAGAAATTTGGAATCAAAGTAAAGTACAACGAAGTTTTTAAAAAACACATTGACATTCGTACACATATACATACATATGCAATATATACGTACATATGCATACAAAAAAAAAAAAAACAAAAATAAAAAAAAAAACAAGTACTAAAAAGATTGTCTTCTCTATTTTTTTTTATTTATTTTTGTTTTTTCTCTTTCTTTTTCTTTTTTTTTTATCTTCTACAATTACACTTCTTCGTTCTTATTTTTTCTTTTGTGCTTCTGGTGGATCCGGTTGACTATTTGAACTTGAAGAGTCAATATAATTGTCGCGACCAGATATTCCTGTTCCTTCAGCATCACCTAACCATGGATATACATTTGGACATTCACGGCATGTTTCCATATATCTTGTATCTGATACATTTGTTTCGGGTATTTTAAATGCTAGAGCACATTTATTTGTTATATTACATGGTTTTGGTGCTGCTGGTATTCTCTTTTTACAATCCCATGCTTCTAAATTCTGTACTTGACGGGTTTCTTTTGGATCTGTTATCCAGGTCAATGATTGTGTTATTGTAACATACCATACATCTGGCCTGTAAAAAATAAAATGAAAAAAAAAAATTATAATAAAAATTAAATATAAAATAAAAATGAAAAAACAAGTGAAGAAGAAAAATAAATTGAGGTGTGTGTTTTTAGAGTGGCCATAGGCTGTAAGGATAATTTTTGTTTTCCTTCTTCATATATATGGATGTGATTATATAAGTGGGAAAGAACAAATAGAAGACTGAATAAAACAAAAAAAAAATAATTTTTTTTTCTCTAATTTTTTAATTGTCACCAAGAAATTGAGAGAAAACAAAAACACATCATGTCCTTTTTTTTTTTCTTTTGTTTTCGGACTGATTTTTTATTTTAAACGTTTTTTGGTCAAAAAAAAAAACAAAGAAACATTGGAAATTTAATTGTGCACATTAAAGTTGGACATTCTTATATTATTTTATTTTTCCATTTTCTGTGGTAGAAATTCTCCCGAATGCAAAATATTTTGGCAATTAACTAATTAATTCTTGTAACATACACAGTAATGTAAATGTTTTCAAAAATTTATAAACAAAATCAATCCTTGAACTTTGGGAATTTGAAAATGGAAAAAAAAGAAATGATGGAAAACGATTTGGAAGAATAGTTTTTGGTAAACTAAAACATGAAGATTTCCTCATTACGATAATTACAAGGAATTTATAATTTTGTAAACGGTTTTGTTAATGACCAATAACCTTTCAATTTTCCTTTGTGTAATTTTTCGTAGAAAGAGCGAACTAAATTTATTTTTGATTTTAGTATAGTTTAAAATAAAAGATAAAATGCTTTGTAAAAGACAGCAATTTAAGTTAAAAAGATTAAAAGGTTAAATTTTAAAATGAATACAAATTTGTTTTATAAATTAAAATACGTTTTTTGAAGAGAATTATTAATTTTTTAGTCAGGGGAAAAAATACATAATTAATAATATGAATTCAAAGTTCTCATTCTTAATTTTTGTTTGTCATACAGGATTATAAGTGTAATAATGTGTAGTTTCATTGATTGCTATAGTAATTGACTTGCATGCAATTCAATTATTATACGCAAATAAAACCATAGAATATTAATACAGATAATAATTAATTATAAATAAATGTTATGGTCCGTATGTCCAATTCAAATAATATTTGTCATAAGCGACACCCTAAAAGTATGCAATTTTTTATCAAAATCAAATCTATTACTAAATACAACATTATTTTGTAAATACATAGAATCTCGTATCTAAATACTCTGCTATATCTTATTGTATAGGCTCTTATAAATAGACAAAACTTTTGTATGGAGACGATGTTCACAGAACAACAGGTTTGGAGCTACAGGGTTATAAATTCAAGCTCGACTGATTTTTTTACTTTTTGAAATTTTAAGTATAACTCCGTGTCTTTGTAAATCAGACTATGCGTTATTGACTATGATCTCGAAATCTTAAAATAAGGGCTTTCTTATGAATGTCTACATTAGTTATAATCTGGTGAGGTTTCGGAATCGCACAACTATAAATTTCGAAAAATTTGAAATTAGAATATTTCTCTTAAATTTCTAATGATTTGCTCAACAATTCATTCATATCAGAGTTCGTATCCCCTTATCATTGGTGGTACTGTATAAACATTTTTCACCGTTTTTTCACACCTCAATCATTATACTTGTGCACAACTAATCCAAAGAATAAATGATAAAAATCCAAAGGATTTAGATAATATTTATTTAATTAATCAAACATATTTTTACTTCCACAGTTTTGCTTTAAAAAAATTATAGGTACGTGTACAATAAAAGAAAATTTAGCAATAAAAAATAAAATATGAAGATATGAAAACAATTATTTCTCATGGTATTTAGTGAAACAATCAAGTAAGTTTCTGTAATAGGTTTTAAAGTATTTACTTTTACAATCATATAATTTTTATTTGAGAGCTAATTTAAATTTAATTTAGCAACTTCATCTGCTCTAGTCATTGTTCATATATATATATGAATACCTTAATATACCTTAAGCAAAATATACGTAAGTAATACTAAGAATCCTTTATAAAATTATAAATGCAGCACAGAAGTGCATTCCAATTGCAAAAGTAAAAAACAATTTTTTTGATAATTTTAATTATTTTAAGTAAATTCAAAATCAGAAATGCATAAAATTTTTGGTTCAGACTTATGCATATTTACATTTATACAAAAATCGAAATTAATAAAAGTTCTACATAAATCTTTAAAACTATTAGAGCATGAACATTCCTAATCATGCACTCAATATGCATTTTCAAAATTAGTGCATAACTATACCACAACATATACGAGTAAAAAAAATATATATTATTTTTTTTTTTATTAAAATTGATAATTAAATTAAGTATAAAAAATATATTATGTATAAAATAATGGTAGTTATGGTAAGAGTAATGACTGTCTGCTCTCAATAAAAACAACTTTTTATGCAACGTCTTGTACTTAAGGAACACAAAAAAAAAGAATGAAAAACTTGTTAATTGAAAGTAATTTCTAACTTATAAAGTGGGAGAATATTATATAAAAAGGATTATATAGTAAGAGATTTTAATTTTAACACCTAAACATGTATGTATATTGTATATACTAATGTGTATATTATATAGTAAATGGACTAACTGTACCACTGTGAAAAATATTCTACTATAACACTTAATTTTTAATGATTTTATACAGTATACTCTGTTACCATAATATGTGTGTGTATTCTTTGTACTCTACGTAAAGGTAATTATATATATGAATTTTAATGTGCATATATCAGTACGTATATAAAATTTATTTCAGTAATTAAGTGATACGCTTTAATGAATTCCTTGAATAGCAAAAAAATTCATTTTTTTTTTATAATTTTGAAAAAATGTGTTGAAAGGAATAAAATTGATTCCTTTTAATTTATATAGCGCAGTACTCATATTGTATTTTCCACGTTAAAAGTTTCATTTAAGTGCAAAATATTTTAAATTTAATTTAAATTAAATAAAATTTTATATTGAATTTAATTTTCTTGTACATTTTTTAATATTTTGTATTTAAGACAAATAATTGTGTATATTGTAATACAATATTGAGCTTGTAAATTTGTAAATATTAAAAAATGAATAAAATAACATTTTTTATAATTATAATTTAATTTTCATTCAAATTTATTGTATACAATTATATTCAATGTTCGTATTATGTTCTTTTGGTATATGATAACATTATCCTGTCGGCAAATAATACATAATATATGCATATATTTAAATAATGTAAAATTTATTTTTATTGAAAATTGATTTCTTAAATATGTTCTCCATGTATGTATGTTTATGCTGGCACGTATAAAAAAAAACTCAGTGTGAGAATTCATTAAAAATTAATAAAAAAAAAAATTTTTGTATTTTCTTCATTCCATTTATTTTTTTTTTCCGATTCAATTACACACAATATGTATGCATATAAGGAAAATAAGGATATTATGAACAATATTATAAGAATAGTGAATGGTATAATGTTAAATATTTATAGTCAACTAGAGTGTATTTAAAATTTATTGGGTAATTATCAGACACTCTTCTGAAAATTCAAGATAAATTTAATTTTTATTTTGTAAAACATAGTAGTGGTTGGTTGGAACATGTTATTAAAAAATGTTTAAAAGGTAAAAATGATATAAAATAAAAATTAATATTAAATATATTTTTTTCAATTGAAATTTTATTATTTCTTAAATATTTATTCCATATGCACATAGTTACATATTAATATATGTAAAAGTTATTTAAAGGAATGGTAAATATGGGAATAGTATCCATACAAATTTGAATCAAAACAATTATGTGTACGAACTATTTTAAATGTGTATTTATTTTACAAATAAATATAATATTGTTATACTATAGATGATGAAGTAGAAGATGTAATGAATTTTTTTTTGCTATGGATGTTATTTACTGTATATGGTAGGTAATAGTATATTGTTCTCATATTCTCACCAAATTATATAGTTTAATTATGAGAACAAATTATGTGGTTTTTTATTTAAAAATTAATGTTGGTATGAGTATAATGAAATTCTATAAGTGTTCTCTCACAAAATATTCTTACAAAAGACAATGTTCATGTAATTACACCGTTCTTCTTTAAATGAATTTTGAATTACATTATTAAAGTGTAGTAGAGGATTTATATTGGAGTGAGTGTATGACATTTTACTATATTTAAATTATAAAAAATTTTATTGAAATTCTCAGTTATTATATTATAGACTGGTTACTATATTACAGACTTAATTAAATATTTTGGAGATTCTGTGCAATAGATATTTTATTTTTTCTCAAATTTTATTGAATATGACAGAATAACTCTTTTTAGTAACAGCTCATTGAGTTGAGTTAAGACTTTTTTTTACAACAGCTATAAAAGATAGTAAATTTTGACCCACACCATAGTAATTGAACCAATTCATATAGCTGATTTGATAATGATTAATAAAAGCCAATTGCTTATAATTTGGCTGTTATGTATTCAATTACCGCTCAGTGAAATAGTTAAATTAGATTTGGATAGTCGCCATACAAATTCTAAAAGATTGTCTTAAATATTTCAAAAACAAATTAAGGTAATTCCATTAAAGTTTGTAACGAAGTATGTAAAAAAGCTAGCTGGCTCACTATTTTATTTTACAATAAGATTGTCACTCCAATTATCATTTTGCAGATTGTTCAGGTGGGGTAACAATGTAGCGTGACCACCATATAAGAAGATATTGTGGCCCCCTATATTTCTTGACCTATAATTTTCTTAAATCGCTTTTGGTCATAATCTTCCAGAAGCTCCTTCACCTGCTGCAGTCCCGGAAGACTTCTCCAGTGCTCCAACCGCCTCTCCTCTGATTCTTTTCTTAGTTCACAACGAATAGCATGTTGTCCAAAAGAACATCTTTTTAAAGTATGATTTTTTTTGAATAATTATTAAAATTACAATAACAGTTTTCATTTTTGCAATACAT